ACCACTTCCCCTCAAAGTTTTATTATTTCATTAGATTTAAACTGATTAAAAAAGTCCTAAGGTGTTTACCAAAGCTTCAGTGTTGAGCTAGTTCCTTTTTTCATACTTTTATTTGATAATCTATTTCTTCTTTGACTGCATATACTGCATAATATCGAGCAATCTCTAGAAGTTGCAAGCTAGAAAAATCAGCACTTTTCTATTTTAGAGTAACTGTGTCTAAATAGTTTTACCAGCCTTACAAATATATAAGTTTTTCTTACAACCTGGGCATAATCCTGTAAAGTAGGCAAACACTTTCAGTGAAAACTCAGGCTTACAGAAAACTTGAACCAGACCTTTTTATTAACACTAATGCATTTGTTGTTCTTTTCAAGGCAGCAACAGCAGATGATCTTTTGAAAAATACATATCTCTTTTAAAATGATATTCTCTACTCTCTTTTGAGAGCAGAGGAGCTATAGATTTAATATATTAGGAATCTATAATAATATATGAGTATCTATATTATAATATTGGTATAGGTATCTACAAAATGTTTTTTTGAACAACTTTAGGTATTCTAATATTTATGTGTAAATATTAGATTAAAGACCTTGAAAGGTTGGTATATGAATATTTTCTTAAATAAACTTCAATTTTCTGTCAGTTTAATTAGTTTTTTTAAATACAAAAAAAAAATGATTTTTTAGCAGATTTTCACTGTCTTTTTTTTTTTTATATTTAGAAAAATCTGGGACGTGTCACATTTTTCTAAAAATGTGACACGTCCCAGATTTTTCTAAATATAAAAATGAAGTGTCCAGATGCCCTACTTACAGGCTTGTTCGGGAAGCAGGAGCGATCGCTCTCGATTACTGACCAAGGAAATAATATTTAGTTGCAAAAAACTGGCCAGATTTTTTAGTTGTTTTGAGAACATTTTATATTACAAAAATTAAAACAAAAAAAGCAAAACAAAAATTAATTGGACCAATAAGAGATAAGGAAAAAAAAAAAAAAAAAAATAGGAAAAGAAAATAACTTTTAACATGAAAAAACTTGAAGCAAAATTAATTATGTTTAGAATAATATTTTTGAAACATCGCTCTTTTATAATTTTTTATAAAATTAAGCAACATTTTTCATATAAAGTAACAACTTACAATTGCTTAATAAGGAAGGGATTGTTCTTTTATTTATCAAAGAATAAAATATAATTTTTATTTATAAACCCTTTTTTATTTCCAGTGCTAGATTAAGGACGGTTGAGGTTAGAGGGGGCTATAGCCCGAGGCCCTGCAATAGTCAAGAAGACCTTTTTTTTAGTCATTTTTATGCTGTGGCACATAAAAAAGGTCTCTAAAATGAAAATAGCCTAGGCCCCAAAAATTCCAACAAGATTCTAATAAAACTAACGCTAGTTTTAGTTTTATTTAAGCTAAATTATTTTTTAAATAAATAATTTAACTTTTTTAATAACTATTTTATGCTTCGCGTAGTTTAAAAAGTTTAACATATTTGAAACAATTTTTCTTAGTAAGATAAATAAATGAAGACTAAGGGGGAAAAAGGCCCATGTCACACATTTCCACTTTTGAGATAAATAAAATTTTGAAAGTCACTATGTTTGTTCTTACTGCATTTCTTGGAACAATAAGTGTAGGATTACATATGCCATTTTTGGGTTAGATTTTACTATTTTGCTAACCTTCAGGCTTATATTTATATAATAGGGGACATAACCCAAATAATTGGAATAAGACATGTGCCCTTTTCCCCATGTGGTCTTCAAATGAAATAATTAAATCATTGAGTTACTGTAGAAAATAAATTAACTAGATAGTAATCAACTAAAAAGGTTAAATAAACTTTATGAAGAGGAAGTTGAACTGCTTCACAATACCGCTGATGATGGTTATATAAAGGAAATTTTTAAGTTAGTAAGTGGGCTTTTTAGTTAGTATTTAAAACAGAAAAAAGTTACTTCAAGTATAACGAGTTTGTAAGAATAGCAACTGAAGTGAAAATAATTAGAGTTAGTTAACCAATATCTAAGAACTTAAAAACCTTCCTTTATATCAAATAGCTTTATATATTTTATATATATATATATATATATATATATATGTATATATATATATATGTATATATATATATATATATGTATATATATATATGTATATATATATATATATATATATATATATATATATATATATATATATATATATATATATATATTATATATATATATATATATATATATATATATATATATATATATATATATATATATATATATATATATATATATATATATATATATATATATATATATATATATATATATATATATATATATATATATATATATATATATATATATATATATATATATATATATATATATTTATATGTGTGTCGTGACCTCAGGCATGAAGCTTATTCATCCGCCAGTTACTTTATATGCAAAATTTTGTTTAGTAACCAGAAACTTCATGTATGTTTATTTCATAATTAGTTTTATTAACTTTGAAGATTATCAATTTCATTAAAAACGTAATTATTGTTAAATGTCTTCTTGTTTACAAAATAAATTTTAAAAATTGCTTTAAGAGATTACATTAGAATAAAAAACGGATACACAAAATTACATTTACATAAAAAATACATACTTTTTAAATAAAAAATAAAAATATACTAATAAAATCTATAATATATAATAAGCTTTCACAATTTAAAAAATATATATTTAAAATAATTATTTTTGTAACAAATAATAGTTTAAAAATTTATGGCTTTACAGATGTGGCTCCAAAATTGAGCCATAGTATTAAGGTAATAGTTGATAAAATAAGGTAATAGTTGATAAAACGCTTGATAAAATATTCTAAAAACAATTTATGCTTGATATCTCAAAACTTAACTAATCTCGAATAATATAATTATTTTTAATTTTAATTTCACAACACCCCCCCCCCTTATACTTTGCACCGCTTTGGGGTAATGGGAGGGAGGAGAAGGGAAGTTGCATTAGTGTATAATTGTAACTTTTGTACGTAATTGTTCTATTTTTAACATATTATCTCTCATATTTTAATATAATCTTATAAATTTCTTGTTTGGCAGAGTTTAAAATAACGTAAGTTACTGTTATTATTTACAACTTAAGTTGCAGTTGTAATAAGCAATAACGTTTTTAATACTATTAAGATATTTCTATATTTTACTTAAAATGATACTTTAAAAAGTAAAAGTAAAAAAGTAAGAGAAAAAGCAACATTACAGTATTTAAACCACTTTAATTAGTCAAAGAAAACTAATTAATACGTTCATGCTGACGTTAAAACACGTGTTAATTTTAAAAAGTATTTAATTGTTAAAAGCTATAAAACAACATCAAAACAAACTGCAAAGTTGTTTTAAAAATATAAAGAGCTTGGGTTAATGTAAAACAAATTCGTGACGCTGTTTTGTGTTGATTTATACAGTTTATAAAATAAAACGTGTTTAAAATAAAAGGAAACAAATAAATAAAATTGATCTAGTTAATAAACTAAAACAAAACTTAATATTTGCGCCTATAGACCTATACAAGTTTATAATCTATAGACCAAACGAGTAGGATCAAAGCAAAAAAACATAAGATATTACGTCTTTTACAAATTATCGTTTCATAATCAAGCGTACTATTAAAAATTTAAGTATAATTAAGTTTTTCATTCAAATGGTTTTTAAGCTGATGTTTTTATTCAATTTTTTTTTATTCTAATTGTTTTCCAAAAAAAAGTGAAACAAAAATTTTGTTTAATAAATCGAATTATATTAAGTATAAAAATATGCTTAAATTATTTTTAAGAAAAAAAAATTTTTGAACAGAAGTAAAATAATTTATTAAATTTAATTTAAACTTTTTATAATTTTAATTTTAACTTGCAATTTGCTATCTCTGCTTTTGTGTTAGCAATAGAATGCTTCTACTTTTAAAACTATTTTCAAGAAAAAATATACAATTCAAAACGTTAACAAAATTTACAATTTACGAAGAAAAAAAACTTTCTTCTTCATTCTCCTTTGTTTTATCAAACTTTATTTTAATTTTTCAATTTTTGTTTCAGTTTCAAATTTCAATCACAAAATTATTTGAATAAGTGAATTTTAAGGCTAAAGTTCTCTTGTTCTAATAGATTTCTTTTTAAATAAAATTCCTGAAAACAACTTGCATATTTATAGAAAATGTTTAGTCTAGTTACCGCTATAAATAAAATGAAAATATAAAAAAATGGTGTCGCGTTTTTCATATTCTATTCAACGATTTTTTGTTAAAATAATTATTTTTTAAAAGCTTATTTTATGTGTTAACAACATGTAAGATCTAAATTGAAACATGTCTATGGCTAACTTTTGCGAGTATATTAAATAAATTAATATAATTGTTAAATTAATACTTGAGTAACTGTAAGTTACTATCTTAACTTAACTGGTTATTTTGATTTAGGTTATAAGTTCATTTAATGTGATATATTCTATTCATTTAGTAAAGTTATATATATATATATATATATATATATATATATATATATATATATATATATATATATATATATATATATATATATATATATATATATATATATATATATACACACACATATATATACACACATATATATACACACATATATATATAATTATTTTTCTACTGCTCACTAGAAAATATTGAAGTAAGGTATTTGTGTAAAAATGGTTGGTGTGGAATAGTCCAAGATTTTATGTGTTTTCAACAATGTTTAACAGGGTTACAAACCTTATTTTACGGGTTCGGCCAGCTTGTACTCATCAATAATCAAATAATGAAATAAACTAATATTATGTCGATGATTTTTTTTGGTTAAGTAAACTGTTATCATCCAATCATTACTTTAAATATATTTAATATGCTAATATGTTAAAATACAAAAAATAAAATAATAAAAAAAATAAAATAAATTTAAAACAAAAAAAGTTAACCAACTCACTATAACGGGCAGAGAAAGCATTCCTGTTGCAGTGCTTGATTGAGTATTTTCCTCTTCAAACATAACATAGTAAACCAAAATAATCAAGCAATACAAAAAGCAGAATACACCAATGACAACAAAGAATTCTGATGAAGATCGTTGGTTAAAAATAAGTTCTAAATTTGTAATCTAAAATAAAAAGAACTTGTCTATAACACTATATAAAAACACTATGCCTGAAACCATGGCATACTTAAATTAGACAGCCTGATTTGTTTCATTGTCTGTTCAAAATAAAGAGGCCAGTGTTTTTAGTTGTGTTTGCACTACAAATGGTCTATTCTTATTTTATTAAAATGGTTATATTATACAGGCCTTGGTGAGAGTAAATGAGCACGAGAGCAGAGAAAAAATCTCCTAAAACAAACATGGCGAGCCATGACAGCTGCTCCTCTAAACTGCTTTTTATGAGAGCTATTTATTTATATAAAAATTGCTTATTAAATACAAAATTTGGTTTTTTACTTATTACAAGCATATGTTTGCATGTTATGTTACAATAATATACACATAACAAGCGATAATTATACTTTTAAGAAAAAAATTTTTTTTTTGCGAGAGCTGTGAATTGCTCCCGTAAAACATTTTAGGGAAGTGTGGGTGAGAAGCTAAAGCTCTCGCTTCTCACTGAGGTCTGGTAATAGTTAGATTTTCTTTGAGTACTTACATTACTTACTGGTTTACAGATAGCTATATATCAACATGCTACTAAAATAAAACTTACATGTTGGTAAGATTACCTAAAACTCTCCATTAAAAATAAAATCAAAAGTTTGTAACTTTTTTATTATTATAATTGAAGTTAAAAGAAGAAATACCTTTTTACTAAAAATATTTATTCGATCTTTGTCTATTTTTGAATTCTTTCACTTTTTTTGAATTCTTTCACATTTATTTCGCAAATATGTCAATTCTTTTTGAAAATTATTATAAAAAATATTATTAATACAAGATCTATATTTGATACCCCCTTTTTAGTGATTTTCACTAGTACACTGCTACACAAATCTTTTTTACAACACTGCTATAACAAATCTTTAAAATTTGTTCTTTAAATTCTTAATTGAAAAAAAATGACAGCAAGGTTTGATTAGAATAGGAGAAATAACATATAGAATACTAAAAAGATGAAATTCAAAATCAGACAGAGGTTGAATTAAATATATAGGTTTTCCTCTGCATAAAATAATATTTATCATAAGTTCAACATCCAAATCTTTTTTTTAATTGTTTACTAATGTAACTTGCTACTATATATATATATATATATATATATATATATATATATATATATATATATATATATATATATATAATAGCAAATATATACATATATAATATATATATTAATAATATATACATATATAATATATAGTATATGTATATATATATACATATATACATATATATATATATATATATATATATATATATATATATATATATATATATATATATATATATATATATATATATATATATGCTATCTTCAGAAAGTTGAAACTAGTATTTAGGCAGACAACTAAGCAATATCTTGCATAATATTGTTTAAGTATTATCAAATGTCTGATAAATATTTTCTCAGAAAATATTATAGAGCAGACTTCTGCCAAAATCGTTTTATTATTGTATAATTTTAAAAGACTAACAAAAAGTCTACCAATGGTCATTTAACTATACTTACCTAGCTCCAAAGGATCATTTTGTAAACGTGAAATAAGAACAAATGTATAGCCATTTTCAAGCAAATCATTCATAAGAGATACAGTAGCTTGTAGTATTATAATTAGAGCATGAGAAGTTTGTTTGGTTAATGAAAAATATTTACATTTTGATCAAATTTCAATACAGTAAGCTATTTCTTTATAAAGTATGGACTTATTATCACCTTTCACAGCGGCATTGCTAAGTTGATTGGGTGAATTGAGTATCTGCTTTAAATTAAGTGTGATAAATAACTTATATAACAGTGATAAGCTTTATTTCTTTCAGGAAAATAACTCAATTTTTTGTCAAACATTGCTAATGTAAGGTTGACAACTTATTTGTTGTTTCCAAGATAAGTGACTTGATAATTATATTTTCTTGCTTTTCTTGCCTGTTTAGTAATTGATCTTTTAATAAACTATATGAAATATATTCCCTGCAATATAACCAGCAGTAACTTAGCAGGCAATAATTTAGTACACAATTTTTTGACAATGATTTTTCTAACATGCTACAGTTTTTTAATTTATAATTTTCATCAATTTGAAACCATTAAGGCAAAGAAATATGGCAGCATTTACAAGACAATGAAAAATTAGGAACTTTATTAACAGCTATTGACTCAAAAAGAGTTGGTATACCTGATATTTCTTGACCTACTGTAAGTAAATGGCCTAGTTTGTTGAATTATAATTAATGCATGTTTGAAACATAAAGCGTATTACTATTATTTCAATGGAGAGTTGTGGATAGTTCTAGCAACATATAAGGTTATTTTTAGTAGCATGTTGATATATGTTGATAAAGCTAGATGGCTATATCAACATCCTATATATGTATGATATAGCTAGAAGATATATTTGGATATAGCTAGATAGCTATATCAAAAGCCTATTTCAGTATTCTGTGTTATTGGTTAGGACCCATCAGATGAATTTTGCTATTTCTCAAAATGCTTTGTCGACTTGTTTTTATGCTTGTGTACTTGATTTTATTACTTTTTTTTTTTTATTACTTTTTTTTTTTTTATTATTTTTTTTTAATTCACCTTCTCAAGGCCAGGAAGGCCACTACAGACGAGGAGGCTACTTATTTGTGGTAACAACCCTCTCTCAACTCTATAACTCCAAAACACGAACCTTGACGAACAAGGCAGCTGCGCAGAGAAACAAGTTGAGCGCGGTACTACTAGGGACATGGTAGGAATTGAACTCGGAACCACACATTTATGAAGCGAGCGCTCTACCACTACACAACTACCGCACTTGGTCTAATTTATTTTCTACAATAGCAGGCTTGGTCAGGAAAGTTTGCCATTTCACACGTAGTTATCATAATATAACCATGCAAATACTATTTGATTTTGAAAACCTGACCACGGCTGTTAAGATGTTTTAAAAATTTGTATACATTTTAAAAATGCACTGAAAAAATTATCTTAACTTAACCATAAAAAAACTTAAAAAAAAATTAATGAAGCAAACAAATCTTCTTAAAAAAATAAATAAAATAAAAATAACTTGACTAAAACTAAAACAAAAAAAATAAAAAAATCAAAACTAAAATAAATATAAAACTATGACAAGATTATTTAAATTAAATTTGGAATATAATTAAATAACTTAGAAATAAAAAGTAGGAGGAAATAAAAAATAAAATTGTTTATCTTGACTAATATTTTTATAATATTATATTATATGTATTATATATAATAATAATAATATAGTATTATGTGTATAACAAGTTACATCTAACCAATGTTTAATAAATAAGCACATTTAAAAGTTAAAAAAGATTCTTAACAATTCTTCTCAGTAACGTAAACAAACGAAAAAATAATAAAATTGTTGCTCTAAAAAGTTTATATAATTTTTTTATAATAAATATTTTTTTTTATAATAGGACAATTATAATAAAAAATACATATATATATATATATATATATATATATATATATATATATATATATATATATATATATATATTTATATATAAATATATATGATATTCAATAACCCTTTATAAAAAAAATCATTAGCAGTGATATGTTATTTAAATGCGTTTCAATAATATAAAAATATAAAGAAAGATTAGAGTTATTTAATTCAAATGATTTCAAAAAAGTTTGTATTTTTTTCTTCTCAACAAAGTTTTTCTTCTTTTCCAGTGTATTAACTTAAATAATTCTTATATAAAGTTTATTAAAGAGACAGTCGTTGTTTGAAGTCGTTGCTTACAAAATAATTTTTTTAAATTACATTTATTATTTAAAAAAATCTAAAATAATATAAATAAAAACTAAAACAACTTTCATTGATATTTAAATCAAAATCATTTGTTATTTTAGTTAAAAATGTTTTGCTAATATAAAAATGTTAGTTTTCAAGTTATTTTTTTTTAACATAATTTAAAACCATTTTTTTCAGCTTATTTTTAAAATGATAAAAAACATTTTAAATGGTCAAAACAGAATATCAATTGTATTTTGTAAAGAATTTTTTATTTCGCAGGCTAACTTAAAAATGACCTTTCGTGCGCTGGCATTAAATTTCAAATGAAGAAGACTGATTATGCATCTATGAAATTGTTACATAGATAAGAGGTCATTAGAGATTTTAAAAGTGACATTTCTGATAAACATTCGGGGTGACTTCACAAAACTGTCTTGTCTATTAGGGTGCATCGCTTGGCACCATAATTTATGAAAATCACTATTTTTTGAAGCGGGTACTCATATTCTTATGTAAAATTAAACTTTAATTTGAGTTTTCTTTTAGTGTTTTTTTATTTGAAAACGTTTTGGTAGTACAATTGACACTTTTATATATGCAATATATCATTATTTATAATATTTTTAATTTTTTTAGAAAAGTGTAAACTCTAAATTATTTTATTTTTATACTTATATCAAATAGCGTTGTTTTGTCAGAAACTGATTAAACTTTCTTAATCATAAGTTAAAGAACACTCTTCCCCTCCCAAACCTCCTGGACTACCTCTGAACAAATGAATTTATGTCGCCGTCCCTAATGTAGGGGAAAGGATTTTTAATCTAAAAATTACTCAACTATATATTTTTTAATTTGCTAAAAGGTTAAAAACTATTTTCAAAACTATTTTTTTAATATTTTATTAAAAAAAGTACTTCTCATTTGAAAGCGATTTTCAAGTTTTACAGGTTTAAGTTTTGAATAAAAAATCAAAAAAATTCAAAATATACAACTTTGTTTTATTTCTTAGTTAAATTATTTCAAGAACATCTTTTTTGATTTAAAGGTGGGAATTTCTTCCCTGTGTATCATTCTTGTTCTAACAAATCCATCTCTTCTTTCTTAGCCTTAAACAATGGCAGATGCTTCCGTCACGCTTTTGACGCAGCGTTCTGTTGCTTGAGTGTGAATGATGAATTTAGGAATTTTCAATGGACTTTCAATGAATTTGGAGATCTCCACTTTAGAAAGATTAGATGTAAATATTGGTTCATAACAATCTTTTACATTCCAAGAAATTAATTCTTGAAGAATAGTTGTGTCAAGGTTAATTTTTGGAGATATTCTTTTTCGAACAGCAGTGTCTCCAAGCTCATTATTTCCTCTAATTTGTAAAACCTTATCAACACCAAACTTTCTTTCGTTTTTATTAGAGCTAGTCAAGAGTGAAACCAGAATACACTCACTATGGCTGTACCAAGCCCCAGTTTGTATATAAGGTGTATAATATTTGCCACATTGACTGGGAGTGTCTTAAGAATTTTAAGTTCAAGCAAGATGTACATCTAACCTTTCTAAAATGGACAATCTTGATCTGTCCTCCAGCAGATGTTTGGAAGAAACTTCAAAATAAAGTTTGAAATACATTTTGACACAAAACTGAACTAATATCTTCAAGATCTCCAGCTCACTGTATTTAAGGTTATGATTTCTTGTCCACAAAAACATCAAAGCCATACCTGTTGTAAGCCAGCGAGAAAGAGACAGAGACCCACATTTTAGATTTGCGAGATCCGGAGAAAGTTTTCCTGATTTGATAGCATTTACATATCTGTAACTGATATAAGCATCAGTAGATAAGCTTTTTATGCCTTTCTCATCAAGTTTTGGAAGCTCCTCTCCATCTGGCACGGGTGTAAAATTATAATTTATTGTCATATCATTTATATACTTAAGATTTTTGCAAACTGATCCTGTAAATCTGTCCTTGCTACTTGTCGGACCATCAACGGATATAATTAAATGTTGTAGCTTGAGTTCATTTGTATGTTTCATGCAAATCGCCCAATAGCATTCATGTCTTAACATTTTTTCAAGATGGGCATGAATTCTCCCTGACCATCATGTGTTGATATTAGTTGAATCACCACCTATTACTATGCATGACTCAGTAGCATTGTTTTTTTCAAGCACCTCATAGAGTGCAGTGCATTTTTTGCAGGTTTTTCCAGATGAAGGGCAAGTTCTGGCGTGATGTGAGCAAGATAACGTCCAGTTGGCTCCCAAGTTACACTTATATGCTCCTCTTTTATGACTCTAGGATGAAGTTTTCCGTATTTATCTGGAATTAACGTTTTGGTCCAGTCTTTTCTTCCATCATAAGCAATTCTAATTATATTTTCGTTGCTACATTTATTAGTTTCAATAATTGTATTTTCTTTCATTACATTATTCTTAGCCCTTCGCATTTTATTAGGGTCAACAGAAAGGTATGACATATCAGGAGAAAGATAAACTGCAGCTATAAAATCTTTTATTATACCTGTGATTATAGCTGCCGCACCAACATTAGAAACATTATATCTTATTGCAGCTGATGCTGCATGTGTTATGGTCATTTTGTTTTGCTTTAGATTTGGTTTTTTTAAGTATCTTGTAACTAGTGATGCCAATCTTCCTAGTTTTTCTTCAAGCAACATGTTGACTAAAGTTTTTGTTTCTTTTTTTAGTTGTGCAGTATTTACAATGTACGTATCATCAGTATTATCAATACCATTGTTGTTTTCTTCCAGCAGATTGAAAACTAGTTTATGATTCTAAATTGTTGAAACATGCAGTTTCTATATAATATTATTACTTACCAATATTGGTAAGTAATTTTATATATAATAGAATATATAAATTTTAAATTTAAAAAAGTTTAATATATATTAAACATTAAAAAGTTAGTTTTAAAGTCTTTCTTAGATTGCAGTAAGAAATGTTTTAAAACAATTAAAGAATTATATTCATGGTAATTTAGCTAACCTGAAATTTATCGAACTCATATTTTCTTTTTTTTCCTTTTTTCTTTCAGCTTCTTCCTGAATGTTTTTCCTTTTTTCTCTTCTCTGTAGGCGAACAGATTCTTTATAATCAGATAAACCAATTTGCATAGTAGAAATCTCTTTTTTTTAAGCCTCTGATTACGAAGCCAAAGAAGATCAAGTACAGGAACTTTTTGTAATAGAGGGCATGAATTATATATATAAATATATAGAACTATATATATAAACACGTGCACATAATTTGCAGTTTTCGGGATCATTGCAAAATGATGCTGCCTCTGTGCATATAATGATTGTAAGAGTACATGATATGATATCAAAGAGACTATCAAGGTCATTAGTTATTTTGTTGGTTGCTTCTTTAGATGGTTTTGCATTTTTTAAAAACTTGGATATTTTAAACCATTGTCTCCCTATTTTTTCCGCGAGTGATTTTTCCGAAATTGTAACTGGTGGTTTAAACAGACTATTTGCTTTGAACCATTGAGCTGTCACCAGTTTAGCAAGTTCTCTGCTTAGTTCTTTTGTAGCAAAATTATGTTTTCTACATTCAAATTCTATTTCTTTTTTTTCCTAAAAGGTAGATATAGATTGAGTTATTTAACACAAATAATTTATATAAAGTCAATATATATTTTTGATATAATAACTTTTAAAAATATTTTAGAAGTTAAAAAATAAAATAAAAGCTAACCTTTAGAAGAATACCCATTTGAATTACTGATCTTTATGTGGGGACCTCCGACAAAACAAAGTCTTTACCTTTTCCAACAAAAATTAGACAATTTAGTTGCTAAACTATGTCTATTTTTCACATTCGATGTATAATTACTCATTGTTAGTACCGTTATTAGAAATAAAATAATAATATACATTATTTAAAAGAATTTGTGATTCGAGTCTTTTTTATGAAAACGTTTTTAGTACATAAACAAAGAAAATTTGAAGTCTCGGGTATATAAATCAAATAAAAACCTGCTTCTTTCGTTTCTTTGTTTTAAAAAATCTTTCCTTAACAAAAGCACATATATTTAAGATAATAATGTATCTATGTATTTGCTAAAAAATAAAAATTCACAATCGTAGTTTATAAAAGAAAAATGTAACCCCATGACTGGGGCTAGAAGAAGATAAAATTAATCTTATCATTAAGCCCTGAAAAAGATAAAACATCTACTACAAGGTAAAAATAATAACCAAATAATTTTATCCCATAATTTATTTTAAAACATGTTTAATATGCATAATCATTAAGTATGCATAATACCCATTATAAAAACAAATTTTATGATATTTTGATAACTAGTATTAATTTTTTAAGGTAAATATTACTCACCTTGAGAATTATACAGTTGTTACAACACATTTTCAAAATACAGGTAATTATTTACAATAAACTATAAAATGCACTACTAAAAGTCTCAATTGCCCTACCAAAACATTTTCAAATTAAAAAACACAGAAAAGAAACTTAAATTAAAATCTAATTTTACATAGAAATATCAGTATGCCGTATTATTTTAATCAAAATGATTTTAGCGATGTACCCTATTGTCTATGTAAGTGTAGAGTGTATATAAAAGATCAAGAAAGGAATGTATATGAAGGATTGAGAGAGTAGTGTAGAAAAAAATCAAAAAAATACAAATTAAAAAAAAGGATAAAAAATCAACTAAACCTACATATGCAATATAAACAAAAAAGTATACCGTATTATTATATTTCAGTGGTAGTGCTACTTTGGTATCAAACGGATAACTAAACGTTACTTTTGCATTGTTTGAAGAACCTGCCTCAAATTCTTGAATAACTTCAATATGGCCTCGGAAGCCTGTAGCGCAAGAAAATGCAAAAATGGCTAACAGCTAGAAAAAATTATTAAACCTATTTTAAGTAGAATATTTATTCTAAAAAATATAGAGGCCATTTCAAAGAACACAATTTTTTTTTTTTTAACGATCTTTGATACATTATCTTAATAAATAGAATTTAATATAAATAGAAATAAATAAAAGCTATTTGTAAAAAAATAAATAATATTTGAACATTTGAAGTTTTTGAATTGTTTAAATTTTTTGTGCTGCATTATATACCATTATAAACACTTAGATGTAATTTAAAATAAAAGCCCCAGTATCCATACTCACTAAAAAATTCCAAGACTGTTATCAAATTTTTTTCTTTTTTCTAGGACAGTAGCATAATTAACTCCAGGACTTTTCCAGGATTAAAAAAAAACTAAATTTCACAACAATTCAAGACTTATGACAATACCAAATGTTAGCAGTGTATATAAATGAAGGTCAGCTATAAGGTGTCCTGTCATGTACAGCTTCAATCAATGTTTTTACATAGATACTTCCTGTTAAATGTTCTTTAATACAATAAACACAATATTTAAATAGAAAAATTTTAATTATGCTTGCAAAGTTATTGCATAACTAAATGTTATTTTTGTATATTGTTGTTTAGTGGTTTTAAAAGGAAAGATGTAGCAAATAATCCAAAATACCTTTTACCATAAAACTGTGTCATTATGGTTCAGATAAAACTATTTTTTAAAACCAGTCTTCTCCATTTGATGAGCGGTTTCGGGCTCTTGCAGTTTTGCGCTTGCTCACACGCCCGCCAATACTACGGCTGGCGCTTTTTTAAGCGCTCACCAAAAAATTTCAAGCTTGTTTTTAAATCACAAGAAATCTTTTTTCTTAATCAAACTCTAATTAAATAGGTACAAAAAAAATATTTTTTTCAATCGTGCACGCCAGGCAAATAATTACTGTCCGGCCAGCACTTTTTCATGCGCTGGCAGTAATTTTCAAACGGAGAAGACTGCAAAACATGACTTAAAAAAATAAGACTGATTATCTGGACTGATTAGGTAATTCAAGATTGGTAGGAAATTTAAATGGTTTATTTAAGGAAGGTTAATAAATCATATGACACAATTAAATTTTGCTAGATTTCTTGTCTACAGACATAAAAAAGTATGAACACATAAATGTCATCACCAAGTAATAGAGAGTTTTGGAACAAGGCATCAAAAGCAATACGATATCTATATGATGGATTAATTTTTTCTAGCTTTTCAGTAAAAATATAGATTTTTACTGAATTGTTGTGAAGCAATGGAGCAAAACTCACTTTAGATTAGCACTCTAAAATTAACTAAAACCACTTAAAATGTGTCAAGCATCCCGACCATGGTCAAGGCTGCTATAATATTGATAAATAATTTTTTTTTTTTTTAAATATCATTTTAAAACAATTTTTCAAAATATATATAAAAATTGTTAAATAAATATTTAATGAGTCCCAAGACAAATAATCAAGTGACACGAGGTTTAAACAAATTCAATTTTTCAGCAGATTTTCTCGAAGATTTTACATCAAAATGATAGTAGAGAGCTCAACTATGTTTAAAACAAGTTCTTTTCATCCTTAAACTGCTCACAAACACTTGACTTGACACTTTCATATAACTAATTCAAGTAAAGAATACCAGTCATATTACTATCTAAAAATAACCTCTACTATTAAAATTTAACACCAAACTGTAACTCATAATTAATTTATGTTGCTCTAGAAATAAGAACTCTGACCCATTAACACGAGTTTTAATGCTCAGAAGCTGTAAATTGTGGTGATTGATCAACCCATTTAATTAAAATATTACCTTCTTGCTTTAAATAGTCATGTGTGAAAACTCATGAAATATTCATACTGTGCACATTTTGTTAAAAGTTCACAAAAATAAATTTATTCAGAATTATGATTTTATTTTATTTTACCAACATTTTACCAGAAATTATGTAAAATGCATCAATACATGGGATGTTTTATAAAGTATGTACACAGGTATTGGGAGAGGGTTACTCAAAAATGAATCTGTACAAGGAGGAGGAAGAGGAGGGGTGTTCAAAACAGCATAGGTGGTTTAACTATCTCTCATTCTCTTTCTCTCCTAAAACTGAATTCTTTCTTCTTTTTTTTTTAACACAAAAGAATTAAATTTCACGAGTTTAAAAAATAAATATTGTTATATAACAGAAAAATATCAAATTAAATCTGTTGTGAATTACGTCTTCCAAGATACTAGCAAACAATGGTTGTATCTTAATATTAATAATAATGTATTTGTAATGATGCGGTCTTTGTGAAGGTTTAGGAAAATTATTCCAACGTAATTACATGTATTTAAAGTTATTAATATAATATTTTGTGGTTCTGAATTTTACATAAAAAGGATATTTATAAATAATATATATGCAGTCATATGATAATGAAACAACTATAAACAAATAAGTGAATTCATTAGTATAAAAAACATATATCAAAATACAAGGATATTTATCCAAAAATGGTATTTGCCTTGGAAGAAGATACCTATGTTGATGATCTGCAAGCAGGCGGAGAAACAAAAGAAGAACTTATCAGGTTTAAATATGAATCAGCACAAATCTTAAATGAAGCTGGATTTCAATTGCACTAATGGCATAGCAATGTAAAAAAATTGGAGAATAATGTTAAAGACAAATCTACAAAATTACCTGGACATCCATGGAACAAAGAAACGGATCAATTGTCAATTGAATTTACTACTTGCATCAATAAGAGATATAAAGAAATTTTAACAAAAAGGAAAATTCTATCCGCAATCAACAATGTTTTAACATATTGGGATTTAGAACATCTGTGTTAATCACTGAAAAAATATTGTGTAGTCAACTAAGCTAATTAAAAATTGGATAGGATCATTAAATACCGAAGGAACTTTTGGATAAAAGACAAACTTGGATCAAGGCAATAAGCAACAAAAGAACTATTTTGATTCCTCAGTAAGTTGTGTCCGGAAGAGTTATTGAACTAGAGCTCCACGGTTTTTCAGATGCAAGTAAATTGGCAGTATGTGCATGCATTTATGTTGTAATGAGTTACCAAAATTCGAAAACAAGCAACTTACTTGTATCAAAAACACAAAGTGCAGCAAAGAATCAAAGTATTCCAAGACTTGAGCTAGTGGCTGCATATACCTTAAGCAAGTTGATGAACCATGTCAGGAAAACATTAATCAAGTATAACATTAATAAAGTTTTTGATTGGATTGACAGTACTGCTGTAAAGAGGCAGTTAGTCACAGTTTGTGAGAAACCGAGTTCAGCAGATCTTATTAAACGGAGAAGTAAAATGGTTTTATGTCTGACAAAAGAGAACCCTAGCGATCTTGGAACAAAAGGTGTGAGTCCGGAGAAGTTGTCAAGCTTGTGGTTCAATGATCCAATATAGTTGAGTCATAAAGAAAATTGGGGATATTTTGATAATTCATATGGCACATTATGTGAAAGTATTGATAGAAGTGGAAACGGTCAATATTAAACTTCAGCAAGGAACCGTTGTGCTAAAAGCCTATGAGGAACTTAAGCAGAATGAAAAGCATCTTTGGAGGTGTCATGGAAGAGTCACCAGGTATAACTCAATATTTATATCAAAAGAATTCCAGCTAACTCTACGAATTATTGAGTATCACCACACCAAAACCTTACATGGAGGAGCTGGAGATACCATGGGTAGCATAGAAGAAAGATACTGGATACCAAGTTTGAGAGTTGCCGCAAAAAATTTATTTGTGGTTGCAATTTGTTAAAGAGATACAGAGTGAAGCCTCTGTTACCACCAACAAAAGTGATGTTACCACCAACAAAAGCGATATTACCGCACTTTAGAGCTGAAAATGTTGAACCATTTGTGGTTAGCAGTGTTGATTTTGCCAGACCGTTAAAGTATAAAGTACCAGAAAATTCAGTTAGAAAATGTTACGCTGCACTGTTTACATGTGCAAGCACAAGAGCCGTCTATCTTAAACTTTGTCATGACATATCAGCAGTAGAACTTCAGAAAATTTTAAAAGAGCTTGTTACAAGGAAAGGACCACCTTAAATGTCTATAATTTTGTTACAAGGAAAGGACCACCTCAAAAATCTATAATTTTATAAAATAATTTTAAAAACGGGATAAAATAATACTGGATAAAATAAAATTTTGAAAATTTTATTTTATCCAGTTGAAATTTATATTTATTAATCTATTAATAAATCAATCAAAAAAATAAACAAGTTAAAAAAACAATTAGTATCAAAATAATTTATTTGTGAACGATATTAATTCAAAGTAACCCTAAAGTAGCAAATAAAAAAACGAGCCATAATTCATTATCCAACAAACAAGAAGAAAAGAAGCAAGAAGAAAAGTATAACATAAATAAAAAATGAAAATAAAAACCGCAAAAAAAAATAGCGCGAATCTATTGGAAAGCATAAGATTTAAATATACTTAAACTTCCTTATTTTTTTCTTTTTGATGGCCACATTTGTTTATTATTTGCCTGAAAAATTTATTAATATTTGTAGGTTATTTGTTCTCATTACTTAATAGAATTATAATTATATCTATATAGCTAATATATCTGCGATAACATATAATTCATATATATAAATATATTATTATATATCTATACAACTATCTATATATCTATATAGCTTATATTAGTGATTATATAAATGTCATATAATTTAATCTTTCAATTTATATTATTTATTATATATTTACATAACTACCATTTTTTATCATTTGAACTTTATTTATTATTTGTACATTTATTTTATCTATTCTTTTCTCAGGTATATTGTTCCCATATTATATTAGCTTATTTGTGTTTTTGTTAGTTGTCACCATTTACTTAATTTCTTTACCACCTAGTTAATTTTGTATAACCTACCTGTACTGTGTTACATATACTGTTCTTATGCAAATCCATTTTGCCTCACAACTATTCTCTCATTACAATTTTATCTTATTATATCCTTAATCACTCTTAAGTTTTTTCATTAAAAAAATTAAAAAACTTAAGAGTGATTAAGGATAATTATTATGTTTTAATATTGATAAACCTCTGTGTTTATCAATAATAAAACATTATAACATTCTTCCTATCAAGTTATGATAAACAAAACACTCTGTATCTTTTATTTTAAAACTGTAACAGATAACCACAAAGCCATCTTTTGTGACTGCTGCAGTTCATGGGTTCATGCTAAGTGTAACCAAATAGATTTGCTCACTTATAACCTTTTATCTGAAGACTCTTCAGAATGGTATTGTTTCAAATGTATAGCTAAAAACATGTCATTTGGTCTGCTTACTGATAATGAGCTCTTAACAACATTATCATGCAAAAATCCACCATCTGTATCATCAAATTTACTTGTATCTCCAATTCAGTCAAGAAACATACTTAAAGAACTAATACTATCTCTGGTTCTGCTATAAATTGTAAATTCTATGATGTTAATGACTTGAATAAAGCTATCAAACCTAATTCAGATATATATCTTCACCTTAACATTGCATCACTTCCCTATCACATTGATGACCTGTACAGTCTTATCAGCACATAAAATATCAAACCTATGGCAATAGGGATTACTGATTCCAACTTATACCTTAATGATACCAATATAACAGTCATAACTATTAATGGACTCAATATTGAGCATTGCTCCACTGAGGCAAAAAAAAGGTGGTACTCTTTTATATCTGCAGCTTAATTTAATTTATGTAGTTTGTCATGACTTATAGATTTACTTATCAAAGTTACTTGAGTCTGTATTTGTTGAACTTATTAAGCCCCACAAAAAAAAAAATCCTTAAAAATGGTTATTTAAAATGGTTAATTAAATTGGTTGTATAGATTATCATCTATCAATGAATTCAATACAACATTTTGAACTCCGCTTCTTAAAAAGTTAATCAAAGAACAAAAATTGATCTTTTTAATGGGTGATTTTAATGCAGATCTATAGCTATAGTTAATCTAATTCTATTTTCAACTACCTTGATACCTTATGTTCTTACTTGTTTAATCCTTCCATAATCTTACCTACTCATATAACAACTAAATATTGAACACTCATTGATAACATCTTTATGAACTTCTACTCTTCTGACCATCTCTCAGGCAACATAACTATTACATTCTCAGATCACACAGCACAATTTGTCTGTGTTCCTGGCACATCCAGCCAACCAAATAAAGTTAAAATTTCTAGACCATGACTAAAAAAATTTGATCCTAACAAGTTTATTCTAGAAATTTCAAAAATCAACTGGGAGCTTATGATTAAAAAGGATGACAATATTAATGAATTCATCTATCAATTTTTAAGATTGTTTATTAGGGTTTTAGACCTATGTGTACTTTTTAAAACTTAGACTAGAAATCAAATCAAACTTAAATCTAAACCCTGGATCTCTAAAGACTTACTTAAATCTAATTCTGTAAAAAACAAACTTAATAAATAATTTGCAAGATATAAAAACATTAATACTAAAAATGAGCTTTTCACAAAATTTAAATTCTATAGAAATAAAATTAGCAACTTATTAAAAAGTAGTAAAAAATCATAATACATAACTTATTTTATTAACAACATAAACAACATAAAAAATACATGAAAAGACATAAAAGATATCATAAATATTAAAGGATCATTAAATAAAACACCTACTTAGCTATATCGGAATGAAAATATCATCACTGACCATGCCACTGTTTCAAATATATTTAATAATTACTTTGTCTCTATTCGTGAAAAGCTACTCAACACGATTTTGCCATCAAAACATACTTATAGTAACTTTCTTAATCTTCCTAACACTAAATCTGATTACAGAACTGCTCAAATAACGTCCCACAAGGTTCAGTTTTAGAACCACTTCTTTTTCTTCTTTTTATTAATGACTTGAATACTTCTTTTAAATTTGCAATTGCTTACCTTTTTGCTGATGATACTAACATGCTACTGGTTGACAAGTCACTTAACATAATCAACAAATATATTAATCATGATCTTGGAAATCTTGTTCAGTGGCTTCATTCTAATAAACTTTCTCTCAACTCTAACAAAACAGAACTGATCATCTTTAAATCCAATCTGGCAATTAATAAGCGCTTAAATTTCAGACTAAGTAGGCAAAAAATTTATCCTTTAGACTCTATTAAATATCTTGGGATTAAAATCGATTCTACTCTTTCTTTTCAAGGCCATCTGAATGACTTAGCAATGAAACTCAGCAGATCTAATGGAATGCTAGCCAAAGTCCACCATTATGTAAATCTAGAAACTCTGCTAAATATATATCTTGCTATTTTTGGGTCCCATCAATGATATGCATTCAAGTAAAGGGACAATCCCATAAACAAATCACTTTAAGGTTGTCTTATCTCCAAAATAAAGCCTTGAAAATAATATGTTTTCAGTATAATAACTTTAAATCTAATGTGTTATACTTAATCTCCAATATATTAAAAATAAGCGACCTTAAGTATTCCTTAACTGCCAATTTGTCTGGAATTATCATCACAATAACCTTCTCCTATCATTCAACTATTTCTTTACAAGCACATATTGTCACTATCACCTTCACTCCATAAGTAGCTTAAATTTAGTTATTCCAAAACACCACTCTGCAAAATATGGAAATAAATCCATTAAATATCAATGTATTAGCTCATGGAACAAACCTGATCTAAAATCTCTGAATTCCAAAATCAAGCTTTTTAATTATTTGTTAAAAAAATACAATTAAATATTTCTGCAAACTAATATTGAAATTTTTTATTATACATATCAATTTGTAATCCTTCAGTTTTTAATTTAATGTTTTCAACATATTGAAATTCTCTACTTATCTATCTATATCTAATTCCTCTAATTTTCTATCTGCCATTTTAAAATTTTTTATTAAATTATTTATTTTAATATTATTAATATTAATATCAATATTTTGGCATTCTTTATTTATCTATCTATTTAACTCTTTTTATTCAACTATTCTCTATTTCTCAACTATTCTACTTCGTACTAAATCTTTGTTGTTGACGTCATTATTTACTAAAATTTTGTTGCTGCTGTTATTGTCTTTATTTATGAAATTCTCCTCTTATTATAATTATCATTTTGTTAATATTATTGTTATTGTTATGATTATTATTGTTATTATTTTTAGCAAAGTCTTGATTAACAAACTTTTATATATAAATATATATATATATATATATATATATATATATATATATATATATATATATATATATATTTATATATATATATATATATATATATATATATATATATATATATATATATATATATATATATATATATTTATATATATATATATATATATATATATATATATATATATATATATATATATATATATATATATATATATCATCTAAAGTCTAACAAGTTGTTCTAATGCTGACTTGTTAGCCGTTATAACAAAAAAAAATTTTATTGAACATTAGATGAAAGCGGTGAGGCAAGGACAATTGCTCTTGACATATCAAAGGCTTTTGTCAAAGTCTGGCATGCTAAACTTATATCCATGAGCTCATTTTATATGCATGTGGAAAACTTTATAACTTTTTGAATCAATTCTTCGTAACTGCAGTATTTAAGCTATCTTTGATGGATAATACTTGTGTTGTTCTTCATCTATATAGTGCTGATAATCATACATCTAAAGCGATTCTATTTGCTGATGATACGAATATATACAATCTTTCAATTACTTAGTACATTATTAAACTCTAATCTAACATATTGCTATTTATCTTAGGGAAAAACCATCCATTTTAAAACAAATTCATTCAATGACCTTCTTATCTTTTACAACCACATTAAATTTGAAAACTGTTTCTTTATACAACTCGGCTAAACCAAAAGCTTCCATTTATTTTTAGTGAATGGGTTACCTTAATAAGTTCATGCAAAATTAACAAGGTATTCGCATAGAGGTAGATTGATAGTTCCATCATTTAATACTAAGTTTTATAGCTAACTTTCAGTTGTGATTGATAACTGAAGTTATCTAAAACCAAGTTAAATGCATGTGTTTTATTTATAATTTAAAAAAACAAGACTTAAAAAACACACTTAAATACTTTTTTTATAAATCAAAAATTTAAATGGCTGTTATGGTGAAATATACTTTTTTTTTTATGTTTTATAATTGGTTGTTTTCAGATATCTATCATTCTTTATAATATAAAATTTTAATTTTTTTTATTTAAACCCATTTTTTTGAGTTTGAAATTGTTCTCCTTGTTTAACCCATGCGACATGAAAGAGAACCATAGATATTGATATTGCTTTCTTTTATTTAGACCAATGTAATAATTTCGCTGGTGATTATATTGTTTTAATATTGTATGTTTGTGGTTCCTGTGTGTTTGTTTTGTGATTGAGTGTGTGTGTGAGTTGTATGAGTGTGTGCACATTATATTGCTAGGAATAAATTTTAACTAAGAAATCTTTAAATCAAGATAAAAAACATACCACTTCCAAAATTTTAATAAAACCTCTAGGTTCATTTAATACTCCAAAGTTGGGACTGTTTCTCATTTTAAGTCACAGGTCGTAGTATGCTCGCTGCGGTTACTACAGAGAGGAGTAGCCGACAGATCTTCATCAGTTCATGGTAACAACAATTCGGCGCTTTATAAAAACGTTTAATAATTGAAAAGCAGTAATTAAAACTGTACCGTAAAACTGCAAAACAGTTTCTTTTTTGTTATTGGCTTCTTGTTTGTTTTTTTTTTTGTTGTTTTTTTGTTTTTTTGGTTTTTGTTTTGTTTAAGTATTGGCAAACGGGATTTTTTTCGGTATCAAATATTTAAAAAAGGAAACAATTAAAATTGTTTAAGTATCTTTAGCTATTAAATACTTTCGAAAGCACTATAGCAGAATTATAAAGATTTTATTTTACGTGCCCCAAGAAGTCCTTACGGTCTTATCACAGAGTATCACAAAAAGCATTTGTAAGGAAGTTCACGCCTCCTTCTATACCATTGCTATGAAACTAGCTTCAAATGATAAATGAATACGACATAAATACATTCCAACAAAGGCAGACTGGGTCCTTCATATCTAAAAAATTCATAGCAAATTTAAAGTTTTTATAATTTTTTATGAAAGACTATTACTTTGTTAGTAAAGCTTAAGCGTTAAGACATAAACAGGTAACTCTTTTTCTAAAATTTCGTTGAATCTATAAGGATCAAAATAAACAGTAACAAAAATAGTTGTTACTGCCCTGTGTTAAGTCCGACGGTGGGCCGAGCTCGGGCCGAGCTTGGTACATCGGTTGAACATCGGCTATTCTGTTTTTAACAAAACAATATTGGTTGAACGTCGGTTTTGTGTTTGTTGGCCGACGTTCAGCCGATTTACAGCCGACAATCAGTCAATTTTGTTCTGTTTTTTATTTTAATGATGCGTTATATAAAAAAACTGAATAATAAATTTTAACAACGGCAGAAAACCGATCTATCTGAAAGGCAAAGAACTAAATATAGATTATCAGAATTTTTAGAAACGAATTAACTTTCCTAATGCATAGGAAAGTTAATTCGTTTACCTGTTAAATTAATATTATTTAATAATATTAATTGGTATTTATGAATAATAACTTTATTTTTTATTTATAAATATTTATTTGAATAGTTATAAAAATTTATAAACCATTAAAGTTTAAAATATAAAAATATTAGATAATAGTATCAATATACGAGGTAAACAGTAATTTGTTTTAATAACAGTTAAAAAATATTTAAAATTGAGCATACATATAGTGATTTATGTTTGATTAAAAATTAATTCATTTTTAAGTTAAACATTAACAGATATTATTGGGTAAAAATTTCTCAAAAAACAAGGGGTTGCACCCTGCATCACCAAGTTCGCTGAAATTTAGCACAAATGTTTAAAGAAGTTGTCGGTAAAATGCGAACTGCGAACCGCGAACTGCGAACCGGTTAAAATGCAAACTTTTTTGCGAACCAAAACATTATATTTTAGAGACCATTATTGTTATGATAAAAATAATAATAAAAAAACTCTCCAATTCTTAATTATCTATTTTAAGGCTTTATTTAAAGTAAATTTTTTATTTTTTAACTGTAAAACATGCATAGAGCGTTGCTACATCGACTATCTTATAGCCTGACTCGCAATGGAGTGCTGCTAAATCGACTGAGGGTTTGGTTTGGGCGGGCAGTCTATCAAATAATTTTAAAAAAAAATTATTATATTGTATTTTTTTAAGTTTCACTTAATTTCCTTTTATTTATTTTTAATTAATTTTTTCGCTTAAAAGTCCTTAAAATATACCGTTAAATGAATTATTTAACGGAAATAAAACATTACATCATTAACAACCAATAGGACAATGGTTCGCAAAAAAGTTCGCATTTTCCGGTTCGCAGTTCGCGGTTTGCAGTTCGCATTTTACCTAGTACCGTTTAAAGATATAATTTAGGAAAGACTGTAAAATTTTTTCAAAAAATTCTCAACCCTTTAAGATTTACAGCAACTTGAAGTTAGTTATTTTTTGACTGAAAAAAGAGGGGGGATAAAACCGGAAATACGTCAATTTACCATTACCATTTTAACAAACTTGTAGTAATGTTGCAAAGCTAAAACTTGGTACCAAAGGAGTTTAAAACCTGCTGAATCTGAAAATCATGAATTTATATCTCTCAAAAAAATAAAATATAGTTTATTTTTAGATCCACAAAACGCACTTGTTAATGACAATAAAAAAGGCCATTGACAACTATAGTTCTAGAAAAACTCTGACTGATGAAAAAAAGTTTTGGTTTTCGTTATTTTAAATATTAAACATGTATCTACTTTGCGAACCAATTTTTATTTGGCCTTATTTTTTATCAAGGAGTTATTAATGTTTTAGTTTTTCAATTTTTCTAAAGATATTTTGCAAAAAAAAAAATTTGCAAATATATTTTGAATACAAATACAATTAATTTTGTTTTGTAATAGCTTTGTAAAAAATTTACAAAGTTATTACAAAACATAGTTGAACATTTTATAAATTTGTTTCTTTTTACTTTCATTACATATTAATAATGTCATTTTCATTACATAATAAATAGGTACGTGCGTAAATTCGTAATTTGCCGTAAAAACGCAAGCTAAAATCTGTGACCCGATTTTTGTAATTTGGCCAAGACACGTATTAGGGCAAACAACACTGTACCGCTAATTATAAACCAATTTTTTTGAAATTTTGCACGTAGTTAGGAAAAAGGTTTGTCTAAATTTTGATCCATTTTTTGCACTACTTTACAAAAAAAGCATATATATTTTTTCATCATAAGTTGGCACATTTTTTCTATGAATCACAGCTCTGTAAATTATGGCAGGTACTTTATGAAACTTTAAGGTATTGTAGATCATTTATTTGTCTAATATTGGTACAATTTTTATATTATTCAGGTGTAGCGCACATTGGTTTTGGGTTTCCCCAAGCACCCTAGGTATTTCTATGAAATGCTGGATTTCTTGCCTTGTTACGCTGCGTTCGCATTTTTTCATTTCTTGTAGCCACATGATAGTTTTTGAAACTCCGATTGGTGCAAAGTGCATATTATTAACTTGCTGTTTTTTTATAAACAACCTTGTGGCATTTGTCGATTCTTAAAAAGAATCCTTTTCGAATCTTTTGAAGATATATAATTTTTTATTTATACTTTTAGTTGTATTTTTGATTATTCTTTCAAAGTATTAAATTATTTTTATCGAATATTTGCATCATTATTTACTCATTAAATAATTAATCAAAATATATATTTTTGCTAGACTATTGCAATAGTAATTAAATTCTATTAAAATTAATTTAATTTTAATAGTTTATTAAATTACATTTATTATTATATACTGTATAGAATTATAAATAGTTATATATTATATTTGCTTTGTTATTCTATAAGTTATGAACGTCTACAAAAACTCTCCTTCAAGAAGGGTAACATGTTAAACATGTCAAGAAGGGTAACATGTTAAACATGCAGCGTTAATATTATTAAACATGTTACAATAAAATTTAGTGAATTATTTACTATATTTATTTTATTCTCTATATTAAATAAATATAATTTATTTATTTACAGCTTAGTGCTCTAAATAATATAATTAAATTTTTATACTTGTACCTAGAGTTTTTAAAATGTCAAAGAAATGTTTAATGATGAATCATTTGAATCAGAGTATCTTAAACTACCTTTTTCGTATCAGGTATGTCTTAAAGGACATGTTTTACTTGTATACTTTTAAAGTAAATGTTCAACAACTGAAACTCCGCATCGTACAACTGTGGAGTAGATGATGGGTGAGCTTGGAGTTCAGATCTGCAGATTGCTGAAATAGCTATTGCAACAAAAATTATGACCTCGAGCTTTGATGCTACTACACAAGAGGATGGCCATATAAATACTGTGCACTTTACAACCAAAACACGATGCATGGTTGTGGCTATTGACCAACTTGCTTGGGGTACAGCTAATGATTATCAGAGTCATATTACACAGTCTGTAGATCACCTTGCTAAGATGTATAGTAATTTTTACGAGCAACAATATATTGAAGTACGAAGTACAATTATTGCTAATATAAGTAATATTAAGATGAGTGTATAGTAATATAAGATATAGTAATTATTGCTAATATAAGTAATATAAGATGAGTGACCGAGTGGCAGCAAACCATGCAACTATCACTAAGTTAAATACTTAGTGGCAGTAATCGTTAAACAGTTACTAAACTTCCATCTTCACCCATTGGATACAATGACCTCTGCTTGCATAAGTCTTTACTTAAAGCATTGGAAACATTAAAAGGAAAACTGTTTGGCAGGGATTGTATTGCAGCAAACATTGTTATACAGCTTAACAAACTACGCTACAAGGGCGGTTAAGATAAATTAACCATTTACTCTAAAAAATATCTAACAAAGTATCAGAAGCCTTAGTTTAACATATTTTTCTTCTCTATATTATATATATAACTTAGTTTTCTTGCTTAAAGGTGATCAGAACTGTTTTTAATCATTTACTAAAAGTCAAAAAATAAGTTATAAATTAAAACATAATTTTTTATGTTATTGTCGTTTTTTAAATTTAGCGTTATTATTAGTTCACATAAACAATCGCATTATGTAAGTTTCTTATTTATTATACATATGTAGGGTAAACTGGGGTAAAGTGAACTGTTTTTGATATTTAAAGGAAATATTTTCAAAATAAAAGCCAAAACATTTTGCAGTTTTCAAAATTTATACCATTTAAAGTATTTTGTGAATTGTATTTATTTGTTGATTCAATAGAAAAATTTTCACAAGTATCGTTCTGATCATTGACATTGGTGTCTAAAACGATGTTTTGAGGGACGTTATTATTATAGTTATTTGTTTTCTGAAAAAAAGGGTGTTCATAGATTTCAGAAGGATTTAACTTGTCAGATGCTATAGCAGATGGATCAAAAGGAAAAATTCCAGTTTTGGCAAAGGATTGTACTAAATGAGCTGGCTTAAAGGAGGTATCATAAAGTTTTTTTAATAAAGATGGAAAAACAGATTTCCCAACCACCTTCAGCCTTGACTCGGTATACCAATTGGCCAGAATTTCACGCCATACATGTTTAACTTGGCGAAAGACTCCTACATCAAGTGGCTGAAGCAAATGCGAACAGTGTGCTGGCAAACACAAAATAGTTATATGATTTTCAACTGCTTTTTTAACAGTTTCTAAAGAAATATGACTAATGTGACCATCAAAGATAAGCAAAACAGGCTTGGGTGTGTCTTTCAACCATAAAACAAGATGGTTAAAGTATTCAGTGAAAACTTCTGTTTCCATCCAACCGTTTTTTGTCACCCCATATAAGGAACCATTTGGTCCACCAGTCATCCACTCTTTATACAAATTCTTCCCAGCAAATAAAATAAATGGAAGAAAATTTCTTCCTGCAGCTGATATTGTTGCTAGTACAGTAAACTGTTCTTTTCCTGATCCAGGAGCAATAGATACAGGGTTTTTAATACCTCTTTTGCAAATAATTTTTTTATTTATTGGGTTAGTGCAAAACCCACTTTCATCGCAGTTTAGTATTTGGGCAGATCTATTCATAATGTCACATTTTTCCAATGTTGCTTTAAGTAATAAAAACCAAGCATCAATTACAGTTTTATTACAAGCTAAGGCTCTTGTTAATGTCAAAAGCTCTGGAGTTCTTATAGATATTTCTTTCTGCCAACGATTTAAAAAATTACAAAACCACTGATCACCAGCAACACCATTAACAAATTTTTTCTGAAATCCGTTTAATTCAATATACGTTTGAACAAGTTTCATAAATTGTTTTTTATCTAATCCAAATCCAAAATCAGAAAATGCAGATAAAAGTGAAACAAGATCTTTTTCAGCATCAGCAGATAATCGGTTTGGTCGCCCTTCACCAACTTTTGAGCATTTTATGCCTAGAAGATGTCTTGCAATTGTACTTCTTGGAACACCATATTCTTTTGATGCAGCATACGAAGTCATTTCTTTATTTTTAACTTTCGAAATGGCATTTTGCAACAAATTAGGTGCATATGTTTTTCTTCGAGATTCTTTTTTCTTAATGTAGTTTCTTGGCATTATTTCAATATATTATATTTCTGAAAATAATTTTAAGAATATTTAAAAAAAAAACAACTTATTTTAAGAGTAAACAATTTAGTTAAGTAATTACAATTTATATATTCAGTTCTACTAAAAATATTTGATGAAAAAACATAAGAAAAAGACTAGTTCACTTTACCCCCAATAGGCAGAAAAATAAGGGGTAAAGTGAACTAAATTGATTTACAAACTAAAAGCTTAGCTTTTTTATATTATGATAAAAACTACAATTTTTTTTTAACAGCATTATATTATCTTTAAAATGTATATAAATTATATAACTGATGTTCGCATTAATAACAACAAATCATGAATTTACTAAAACCCATAGCAAAGTTTGAGATCGTAATTTTAAAACTTCCGCCAAACTCGCTTTTTAAAATGGCTATTACATCAAAACAAAGGCTATATTTTATTAATTTTTTTATTTAAAAAATTTCAAAATGTTGTATTAAGCAAAAATAATGCTAAATTACTTAACAAAAAGTTTTTTAAACATGATAACTTTTTAGTTTAAAAAAATAGTTCACTTTACCCCTAGTTCACTTTACCCCAGTTTACCCTATACATTCTCTTTTCTTTTCTTTTTTTTTTTTAGCATTTAGAGCATTTAAAAGCAGCATTAAATTTAAAGTTTTAAGATTTGGAAGGAGCGTATTCTACCACTTTTTATACTGCTAGTTTTTGTTTTTAAACTTTTTTTTTGTGATAGATGGGGGGGGGGGTGACGCCCCACATCCTATAATTTATTTATGTCACTAATATATAATTTAATAAAATATAATTTTTATTATGTATTATTTTATATATTAGTTTTATTATTTACTTTTTTCATTCATTTTAATAATGATAAAAATATTTATTAGAATGAATCTTTCGATACTAGGGTGTGTACCATTACCACCACATCCACCTCCTTCATAAAATACATTTATAATATTTGCTTGCAAACTGAAATAAAAAAATAACAACTTAAACTGATAAATTACTAGTTTTTTATATTAAAAAACAACCTTTTTTGGAAGAAATGTGAATTTTTTAATGGCAAAGATGTTTCTTCTGTCCCCCCCCTATAGCCCCCTAAATGGGCACAGGTGTCAAAAGCAAAAGAAGCTTGTAGCCCAATGTTACACCTATCTTTTAATACCAAGTTATATGCTTTGGAATATTTTTTTAAAATTCTTTCCAACAATATATAACAATCTAATATTTGAAATTTTTACACACGTACCTATAATATCATGTCATTAAATTTAACAATATTATGTAACTTTTGTTGTTGATTGTTTTGTTGTAATAAAACATTTATTATCATCAATAAAAAAAGTAATAAAATGATATAGTAATGTCTAATTAACATTACCATGTTAAGTTACATAACTAAATAAAATTATATTTAGATATCTTTTACTTTTACACAACCTTTTGTAAGTAGTTAATGGAGAATTTACAATAATTAGTAGATAGTTAGGCGTTTAAAATATGTCTATTAAACTAACAGCTACTTGTTCAAGCAATATGTTCTTTATAAATACATATTGATATGATATTGTTTGTGTTCAAGTGTACTTTTCTTGTTAGGGACATTAAGATTATTTAAAATTTCTTGTATTAAGTGTTTAGACAGAGATTCCTCATTATATTTTTATATGGATAACAAAATTAATTGCTGCTTTGTAAATAATTATGGAGCTTGTTATAAACAATCATATACTCAAAAAAGAAATCTGATTGAAGATGTTGACAGCAATGATCGTAAGCTACTTAAAAAACAAACAAATCTGAAACAAGAACAAATTACTAATATATGCACACACCATCATGATATGTTAGTTGTATGATATGAGGGTAATCAGAAAAGTTGCTGTAATTCATTTCTGAGTCACCAAAAGGTGTGTAGAGGTAAAAATTTATATATTTATATTTCATTAGATAATATCATTATTAAAAAGTCATATAGGTTTTTTTGGTAATAAGATATGTTCAATGTTTCATAGTTATTAATATAACAAATTGTATAGTAATATAATTACATAATATATATAATTAATGTTATTTAAGTAATTTAATTACTTTCTTTTTAAGCATCGCTACGTGTGATTACAATGCATACTGTGTTAGAAACAGAAACCATAGGTTTAAATCTTATACCTGGAAAAAAACTGTGTCCAACCTGTTGAAGTAAAGTTATGACATGTTTATCAAAAAGTAGAAGTGAAAATAAAAATGATGAAGATTTTGATATTGTTAATGAAAAATCCATTCAAAATAAAAAAGAAAGTGTAGATGCACACTTTGCATCTGCCGGAGTATCTCCAATTAAGGTCAAAGGATTGCACAAGTCAGGTAAAATCAATAATGAGTGTATAGAAAAAGCAAACTTGTTTGATAACATGATGGTATTGTTAACAACAAAATTGCAGAGTCTAAATTAACATCAAAAAAAGTACAACTTGCGATACTTGCTCCAACAGACTGGTCAATAAAAAAGTATCTGAAACATTGCATGTAACAAACTATGTAGCTCGAACTGCACGTAAGTTAACATTAGAAAAAGGTATTTTAACCATGCCTAATCCTAAATTAGAAAAAGCTCTTCCTGATGTAACAGTTCAACTGGTCAAGACCTTTTACGAAGATGATGAACATAGCCATATAATGCCTGGTAAAAAGGACTATGTAAGCATAAAGAAAAATGTCCACATGCAAAAACGTTTGCTCTTATGTAATTTTAAGGAATTGTTTGTTGCCTTTAAAACCAAGAACCCAGAAATAAAAATAGGATTTTCAAGGTTTTGCACCTTGCGACCTAAATGGTGTATTACTGTTGGTGCCTCAGGAACACATTCTGTATGCGTCTGTGCTATTCATCAGAATTTGAAACTGCTTTCACACCCTCTTGGTGTGACATACAAAGAATTGTTACCTTATATTGACGTGATATAACTAATAAAGACTGTATGATGAGGAAATGTGAAAAAAGCCTAGCAACTATGAATGCATTGGTTGAAAAACTTTATGATATACTTGGAGAATTTGAAGATGATGATGAGATTGAATTTGATCAATGGACAACAACAGATAGGTTAAACTTGACACATAATAAAAAGCCAGTGTTTGAAAACATTGAACTAGTATGTAGAAAACTGGAAAAACTTGCACCACATTCGTATTTAGCAAAGAGTCAAGCATTATACCTGAGATCAAGAAAGGAAGATATGAATGAGGTAACAGCATTATTTCTGGGTGATTTTTCAGAAAACTATAAATTTGTAGTTCAGGATGAAGTGCAAAGCTTTCATTGGACAAATTTACAATGTACACTTCATCCAGTGATTATTTATTTTAAAAATTTATATTGGCATTCTTATAATACAAATCCTATTGTATTATTTCAGATGATATGATCCATGATGTGAACATGGTTTATAAAATTATTGAGGTTGTTTGTAATGATATAAAAACAAATTTGCCTCAAATAAAAAATATTGAATACTTTTTAGATGGGTGTGCAGGTCAATATAAAAATTGCAAAAGTATGTTAAATCTTTGTTTCCATTGTGAAGATTTTGGTTTTACTGCTAAATGGAACTTTTTTGCAACTAGTCACAGTAAGCAACCTTGTGATGGGATAGGTGGTACAGTCAAACGTCTGGCAACACTAGTAAGTTTGCAAAGAGATATGGGTAATCATATTTTATTTCCACAAACAATGTATAAATATTGCAAATAAAAGATTGAAGGCATAAATTTCATATATATTTCATCAGAAGATTTAACTTTGGTGAGAACCGCTCTTAAAGAATGATTGGATACTGCTAATACAATACCTGGAACACATAGTTACCATCAGTTTGTACCACTTGGCCATCAAAAGGTAAATTATTATTTTTTAATTAAACTTTTTACTATATTTTAAAATACATGCATAACTTTTATTGATAAACCCAAATAGATATTAGATTTTTGCAGAATCATTATCAAAAATATTTGTATTTTATTTCCTCTGCATTTGCTATCTATGCATTTAATAAAACATATTTGATAAGTAAAACGAAATAATTGCATATGTTACTATTTTGTTTAGGTAGGCACTAAGCTATGTTGATGAAGAATTTGATTTAATTCATGACTTTGGAAATATCAAGATAACAACTGCAAACCTAGTACCAGGTGATTATGCCTATGTTTCCTATGAGCAAAAGTGGTGGATAGGAGTCATTGAAGATATTAATTTAGAAGAAAAAGATGTGCTTGTAAAATTTATGTGTCCTTATGGTCCTGCACGGTCGTTTGAATGGCCACCAAAGGAAAGCCAATACCCACATTATTTGCAAAGTTGAGGTACCGATAACAAAAACAGGACTTTGCTACTATTTAGCCAAAGAGGACTTAAAAAAAATTATTTTCTTAAGTAAGTAGAGATTTTTATATTTATGAGTCTATTTTTAAATATTATGTTTTGTGAACCAACTTGTAAATAATGTGAATGTAAAGCATATATAAAATCACTAAAGTTTAGTATTTAAAAAAAAAAATTTATATACGTTTAAATTTTGTTGTAAATATTATATGAAAATGAAAAAGATAATAAAGTCACTAAATTTTTAGTTTCTAATTTGATTGATTTTACCAATCAATCAAGGTGGGGTTATATTAAGTGTCTAATTTAAAAAATATTAAAAAATTTCGTGTCTATATCAAATATCAATTCCTTAAGTAAATTTAAGTCCAAAACAAAATTGGTTCGAAAAGTAGGTGTTGATCTTATTTTTAAGAAAATCGAAATTATATTTTTTTTATATCAGTCAGATTTTTTTTATAGCTATAATTGTCAATGCCCTTTTTTCTCAGCGTTATAAAGTGTATTTTATGGATCTAAAATAAGCTACATTCCCTTGTTTTGACATATAAAAAACTATATCTTTTGGATTTAACAGGTTTTAAACTCTTTTGGTACAAAGTTTCAGAATTGTGGCATCACTACAAGCACCATATCAAGGTGAAAGTAAACGGAATGATTTTCGGCATTTTTCCCCCCTCAGTTTTTAGTCAAAATCAAGGAAACTTCATATTGCTGTAAATTATAAACGGTAAGGAATTTTATGAAAAAAAATTACCATCTTTCCTTACATATGTCTATAAACATTTGTGCCAAGTTTCAAAAAACCATTAGACTAAATTTTCTTATGTTTTTTTTTAAATCCTAATTAACTAATTAAAAGTTACATAATAAATTATTTTTAAATCATAACTTACTGAAATTCCTAGAAGAATATTAATTATATTCAAATCAGCTGCAAGAACATATTTACAATCTTCTAGCTTTAGAAGATCTAATAAAATGGCTAAATTTTTGTGTGTCTCCTGCAAGTTGTCACGATTTGCAAGAACTATGGAATGGTTAATTCCAGAGTATGTTCCGTGAGAACTTTGATCTTCGCATCGTTCTTTTTCTGGATCAAAGAGGTTACAAATTACCTTAAGTGATCCACCTCCTACAAAATTTTAATTTTATATTAAAAAATAAATATTATTAAGTTCTATATTATATATAGGTTATATATTATCTCTTCATCTTATAATGTTTTTACCTGAATCAATTCCAATTCGTATTAATGTTTGGTAAGGGTTTTGCTTTCTGTAAGTCATTACAAAGTTAAGCAGCCCTTTTAATTGAAAAACATAAACAAGGTCTCTTGACACATCGGTTGACAACTTTTTTTTTTTTCTTCTGCAAAAATTATCTTCACATCATAAAATTCAGAAATGAGTTTACTTTTTTGGTAAAGTTTTTTTTTAAGATTTGCCTCAAATTGAATTCCACTTTTCCTTAAGGATTTCAGAAGGATGTGTGAAAGTCCAAGTCGATTAATCATAGTTTCAGTGTCTTCAAATTTGACTTTCCTAATAACTAATTGAGGAACACCAATAGTTATAGGTAATGGAATTCCCACCTGAATAACAAAATACTTTAGATGATTTAATCAATTTGAAAACACTAATAAAACAATAAACAAATTACCAGTAATTAGATGGGTCTGGATTCCGTGCTTAAGTTTCTTTTTCTTAATAATCAATCTTAAAACATTCGAAGTGACTTTTTTCTGAACTTTTTCCGAAGCACTAAATAACTTAGCAGAAAGATTTGTATACACATTCATTTCAGTACATTAATGTTGAATTCCTTTTTTGATCGCACATAAGCAAACGTTACACATCCTATTAGAACTTACTAATTTCTTTGTTTTTTTCATATGTGGAAATCTTGATCTAGCCTTTGAACAAATTGTGCATGTTTCACAATTTCTAGTGCTTACACATCTAGATAATTGGGAAGATTGCCATCGAGTTTTAACTGCATTTGGTATGTCTTTACTTTCCTTCAGTAAGTTTACATACTTTTTGCATGTTGGACAAATGCCTACATTAAGTAAATTCATTTTTAAATAATGATTATTTTTAGAAAGTAAAACAATTAGTAAAACAATTGCATTAGTTAATCATAATATGGAATATACCTGTTGGATAACTGTACACAGATATTGAATATTCAGGTTTTACATACATTTTTATGTAAGCCTCTAATAACTTCGTTACTGGTATACATTTTAAGCATTTCTTCAAACAACAGCAACAAATAATTTTTTAATTCAATGAATGGTCTCGTTTTTCTTTTCTGTTTACTGTTTTGTAGATAATATATTAGGCATTTTTCTAATAAAGTAGTTTATGTTTAATATTAACAATAACGAAACAATAATTAAGGTTTGAAACATTCTATTATTATATTAAATAAATAAATTACTATATAATGTACTATATGAATTACGCTTCCATCAACAATTCTATAGAAAAATTAACATCTTAAGATGATCAAAATTTAATTGCCTGCTATACTGGATTAACCTTAACATAATTAAAAAGTGGTAATATTGATTTTTTATAAGGAAAACCTTAACTTTACAACTCTTACCCCCTCCCCTTTTATAAAATAATTTACAAAAGTTTGAAATCGTTTTTTTCAAAAACGGCTACCTTTTAATTTTTAGGCTTTTAGATACAGTATCCTGAAGAGTCACTGATAAAAGTTCCATAAAAATATTTGCGGAACTCTGACCTGAAACTTAAAACCTATTCTTTCGATGTGTGTATTATTGATATGTAAAAATTTAATTTTTTTTTTTTTAGATGCTGCACACAGTGAATCATCGGTTAATAAAAAACGTTGGAATTTCACCCGATTCAATTTATTTGATGGTTCAACTGATTCAGAATAATTTATTTAAAAGAAATATATAATTTTATTTTATATTTGTGTTTTACATATACTTTAGTTGCTTAATCCTATTTTCCCTTTTTTCTGATTTAAATTTATTTGTTAAATGGATTTTACTATCACCTTAAAGCTATGTTGAAAATTTGATGCTGTTACCATCTGTAGATAACATGTTTTAAAATTTTGCATATTTTTGTTTGACTTTGAAGATAAAGTAAAGTAATCAAGGCAAAAAGGTATTTTTTTAAATTTATTTTTATTCAAGGCCATGCATATAGACAAAATTTGGTTATTTAAATTCACAGGACTAAAAAAATGTTGTTTCTTGGGCAACCAACTTAAATATTTTCTATTTATTTTAAGTAAGTAGTTCCCTATATTAAACACTTAACAACCTTTTATAGAAAGTATAGTTATAAAGTTTATCTTTGAACAATTAAAGTTGTTCACTGAATATTTTGTTAGTATGTTGTAAATACCTATATTTCCTATTTTAGCTCAAATAAAGTTGCAAATGGTAAGAAAATTTAGGATAAAACTTTTTTTTTTTTTTTTTTACCGGAAGAAACAAATTTATCACCGGTTAAAAAAAATTATCGGTTTTTCTCTTAAGCTAATAAGTAGGCACTTCAGTCATGTGACTTTTTTTGTGTGACAAATTTAGAATATAAATTAAGGGTGTCCCAGATAAGCTTTCTGGCCGGATATCATTATTGTTCGATATCCGTTATCTGGTCGGATAATAACATTATCCGGTTTTGGATAAACCGGATATTTAAAGTTAATGTTATTTAGAAATTCAAATATTTAATAAACCAAGAAATGTTATATTTTTAAATAATCTAATGTTAATGGTTTCTATTCAATATTGTTATTATTATTAATAATAATTTATTATTCATATACTATTAAAATTAAACGCAACAAATACATCAGTTTATCACTCATTTATAAATTTATTTCCATTATGATGAATAAATAGTAACATTTCTCCACGTTGAGGTAACAGTCTTGATCGCTTTTTCTTGTAAATATTTCCATATTTGGAAAACAATCGCTCTGAAAATACAGAGGATGCTGGTGGAGGTGATGCTGGTAGTGTGCTGGAGGTGCTAATAATTTAAGAGTTAACTCTTTTAGAAGTGGAAACTTCTCTTCGTGCTTCCAATCATTAAAAATGTTCTTTTTTTTTTCTATCATCAAGTGATTAAAGAAAAAATCAACATCTTGAGCAACTTTAACAAGGGAGATATCACGAGATCAGGATTTTTTCACCATTTTGTTCTGTAATATAAAAGAATTTAAATACTAAAGATGATTTATTTATTTATATATTTTCATTCAATAACAAGTATATAATACTTAAATCAGCAGACCCACAACATGCAGTATATAGCTGTTATTAAAAAAAAAAAAACTTAATAAAAAGTTTTTCTGTTTATCAAAAAAAAAATTTAAATTATTAAAAACTTTTTTAATAAAAAGAAAAAGATTTTCTTACCTAAATTTCCTTCATAGCAAGTTCAATAAAGCAGGAGTTAAAGTCATTCTCTTCTTTTTTTTTTTTTTTTTTTTTTTTTTGTATTTTGGCGTTAAATGATTGGAGATAATGGTGGTGAAGCTGGTAGCTCTGTTAATAATAACTGGTGAAAATCCAGTTATATTTCTTTGATTTTTGACTGCTGACCAGATTTACTACACCCCTTGCTTATCTGCTTTCCACATGGAATGCAAATGGCTATAGAATCACAGTTATCACTAATTTTAAAAAGTTTCTAAATAAAACTTGCCATTTTGAAGGGTTATTACGGTAATTTTTGTCTTAATGTAATATTTAGCTTACATTATCCTTATCCAACCGGATATCCGGCCGGATTATTGTTAAATATCCGGGTATCCGATATCCGGCTGGATAATTAAAAATGCTATTCGGGACACCCCTAATATAAATATTGGCGAATTTTTGGGCAATTTTTTCGGGAATTATTTTAATGCGATCTAATTTCAAATCCAATTGCCAGTTATATTTCACTCGCATAAATTAAAAAATATATATTGATCTGTGAAGATTATTTTTCAAAGTTTCTTAAAAAAGTAGCTACAAGATTTTTCAAGTCGTTTTCTCTAAAAAAAAAAGATAAATTAGCTTATCAAATTATAATATTTATTATTTATTTTTATAACAATTTGTTTTTTATGTCTGGACTTAACAATAAAAAAAAACACTTTTTATTATTTTTTTGATGTTTTTCTTGACGCCATTATGGTACTCCGTTCAACCTACATAGTTAGTTATTTAAGGTAAACTGAGAAAATATCTTAAGGTAATATCTAGCTACCTCCTTATTCTAGCCGATTTTCTAAAAAATCTTAAATACACAGTTGTATTAATTGCTTTAAAGTAAAAATACAGTATTTAGACTTTATAATTTATAAATGTACTTATTCAATAAGTGCTTTAAACTACACGTTTATAAATTATTAAGTCTAAATACTGTATTTTTACTTTAAAACATATGTTTTTAAGGAAGTGATTTTGATAAATAGATATAGACTCTATATCTATTTATAACAGCATCCTTAATCTAAATTAAATAGAGTTTTTACGAAATCACTTCCTTAAAAACATATAGCACTTTATTTCCAGTAAAACAAATATAAATATATTAAATTCTCTAACTTGAAATTATATACGTGTTGAAATTCTTCTCATGAAAAAAAAGTATGGCGCTCTGTAAATTAGAGGCTGTGCTAAAGTATACTAAAATATGCGGTTAAAGTCCGTAATTTAAAGTTACGGAACTTCTCCTTATCATAAATACGGAAAAAATCATATAAAACGATGCGATTATTTCCAAAGTATTAAAAGTATAGGTAAAAAACCGTAGTTTATTGAAAACGGATTTTTTCCGTAAATAAACAACAGAAAAAGCCTGATAAATACTACGGTGTTTTTTTACAGTGTAGTTTTATATATAAAGTCAATTTTTTTGATTAAAAGCCATGGAACGGTGGAATAAATGTACTTTGCCGGTGAAAGTAATAACATAATAGCAATTAGTGAAAAGACTATTGAATTAGTTAGACGAGTAATTATTAATATTTAATTTTCTAATAGAATTTCAATACTTCCCCGATGCAATTGTTTATTACTTGCGCATCATAAAATAAAAACGTTATACCCATTTTTCGAAAGCATGATTCAGGGTCCCAACGCAGAAAAAAAAGCTGCAAAAAAAGTTGTAAAAAAAAATACAAAAAAATAACGAACACTGGAAGAATGTAGCTTTGATAGAGTTTAAAAAAAAGGCATCTAATAACTCTACTTCAGACCATGTAGTCAATGTATAGGTTAACAGCTTTTTTTTACAATAGTATGTTTATAATTTTATTCAAAGACTGTTACAATAACTCTTTTTTAGATGGACCATGCTACTAAATGTGTCGATGAACCCTTGAATCCTAGAAAACCATCTATCCCATCAAATTTTTTAATAATCTCTGAAGAATAAGATAATAATTGAGCAAATTTTGAGACGCATTCTTATTTCATGAAATATCTACAGATTCTAAAAACATATTTAATATTTGCAGATATTAAAAGCATACCATAATTCTCAAAATGCTGTTTTAATTTAGGATAAAGAGGAAATTCAACTGGGCAATCAAGCAGCTAGAAACAACCTCGCTTTGTGATAGAACGTTTTATCCAAAGTTGAACTCGATCTAGTCACACTAAATGTACCACCTCAAATGCGACAATTTTCCTTAGAGATTCCACAAACAAAAAAGTTCATACCTTCATTTTTTACAAAACGTTTCTCAACGGATAGAAGATTAACAGAGACTGGCTTATCTGAAGTGGAACTTTCAAAGCTTTAATTTATTTTCCTTGCTCTAGCTTTGGACAAAAGCATAATTTTGGCCCTGGATTTTAATCTTTCTTTATAATGTGGAATAAAAGATAATTGGCGAAAACTAGGAGAAATAGTCACCAGTCTAATGTTCTGCACAGAAACCACTACATCATCTGAAAATCAGCATTTAACCTTGAAAAATCGGACCCGGATCGATTCAGAACTTGAAAAGTTGATAAGAAATAAGGCATCTAAGTGGTATAAAGTTTTACGCTGGGTCCTGGACGTCACTCTCTATTCAGCTTCAAGAAGTCTAATTAATTTTAAATTTATCTAGATGTAATCTTTAATTCAATATTATGGTCATTAAAAAAAAAGTTGGATCTCAAAAAAACAAACTATCTACATTTAAAGAAAATAGGTTTAAATTAACTCCCAAAAAATTTGAGCACCATTGGATTACTCTCTCCATGTCTTCAAAGAGTATATTTGTAAAAAAAAAGGACCTCAAAATGACTAAAAATAGCTTATTTTACCGTTTGAGGGCAAGGATATTGAAAACATTAAAAAAAAATTTATGGGACATATATAAATATCTGAAATTTAATTATTACGCAGTGCGGCGTTGCTTTTAAAATCTTAAAAAAAATTAAATTAAAACATTTTTATTTAAACGTCATAGTAATTTTTATATATGTAGGATTAAGAGTTTCTCGTTTTATGTATATTTAATAACTATTTTGAGTAAAAAAAATATCTTTTATTGTTACTACTACAATTTTACAGTTTTTATAAATGACCATAGGAATATACTATATATTTAAGATATATCATGTTATTTATACTATTTACAATATGAAAATATATTGTATTAAGTACCTTAGCATATATATCAATCAGTGCAGTATTGCTTTTATAAGATTTACAAATATTAAATTTAAAGTTGATTATTTAAACATGATTATAAGTCAATATGATAATAATTGTTGATAATTATGATAATAATTGTAATAAATTGCAATGAAAATGTACAAGGGATTAACTTAAAAAGAATAGGAAATCCCTGTGACTTCGGCAAAAAATATAAGCTGAGATCTAATTAAAAAAGTAGTTATTTATTATCAGACAAATCAGAAAAATTTAGCTTATTTCTACTTTTTAAGAAACTTACTTTAATTTGTTTATTTATAGAGAAAGAAAAAGAGAGAGAGAGATAAAAAAAGTTTAATTTAAATGATCTCAATAAAAAAAACTTGTATTTAGAGATTCAACTTCTAACAGGCATGAATATTTTACAACATCAAGCTTACCTGCAATAAAAACTGCCTAAAACTGTCAAAAAGATTAATTTAGTTATGACTAAACTGTAATTATACTTTGAAAAAGTTTAAGAAACCTTGGATTAAGATGAGCTTTGATGTTATTAGTGACATTAAACTAAAAAACGTTCTCACAAAGTTAGACAAACAGTATTCTGGTCTTAAGTATAATAAAAAAAGAAACCCTTGTAATATTTAGCAGATTACAAGATTTGAAAAACATGAGACATAAAAAATTAAGATCCGTCAAAGATAAGCTTAAAGAGTTGATGTTTTTGGAAGACTTGGTTGTAATAAGAAAGTTCATACTTAGGACAGAGGATATTAATTTTACTAGAAAGGTTAAACTTTAGAACTTAAAATTTTAGAAGATATTCTTATTATTTTTTATTTCAGTTAAAATTAAATTTTTTTCATGCTTGCAGGCAGCAGTGAAAGAAAAAAATCACAGCGAAAGACCAATTAATAGAGTTTAATAGAAAAATGAGTTTTAATACAAGTTTTGATTCACTTTTTAATTCAATTTTTGAGTTTAGTGGTTATTACCAAAAATAACCACCGCAATTTAATAGTAAAGTTGCATCAGAAATTCCAATAGATGTGTATGCTGGGAACGTTGCTACTATGGCTACGATAAGTAATGTTTTACCAAATCTTAAGCCCCAGAGAAATATGAAACATTTCTATTAAAAAAAATTTTTATATATAGGAGGATAACTAAAAAAATAAATTAAAGGGACTAAAAAAAATTAAGGTCATTCACTGAAAATATATGAAATTTAGAAAAATAGGGACCAATCAGGGTTGTTGCCCCAGGTGGTGTGTAAGCTCTTGGCGCCTCTGATTACTGGTCTACTCAACTTTGCTTAAAGGTTTAAAAAAATATGCAAATAAAACTCGGAGAGAGGCTTGAAAGACGTCATTAACACATTTTGAAAAATACTAATTGCCCATTTATATAGTAAAATTACCCCTCGTTTGTTATAATTTTGACATGTTTATTGATAAAATAGATGCAGTTTGAGACACTGATTTTATTTAGATTGGTTTGAAGCTGATAATTGTAGAAAAATCGGCAAAACGTTGTGCAAACAATATATTTTTGATAAAACTAATATATTTAAGCTGAAAATTACCCGACTAAACATTAAATGCAAATATAAAAGAAATCCGTCAAATACATAAGGTTTAGTAGACAAAGCACCATTGGAGAGCAGTAAAACTAAATAAATTGATATCAGTTTTGTTTTATTAATATGAAAATATTTGGAAATAAAAAATAGTTCTTTAAATGGCATTGTTACAATTTGCTTTTGTTTGCTCCGGTCTCCCTAACACAATAAACTGAGGTAAATTTTTTTAAGTAGAAAACAAATGTTTTAATGTAAAACAAACTGTGAGATAAAATTACAGGTAAATTAATTTCACGCATTTAAGTGCAGATTTAATTAAATATTCAGGAAAAAACACTTTTAAAAAGCAAGTTATCAAAAATAAAAAAAAGCAAGTTATCAAAAATAAGAAAGTTAAAACAAAAAAAAAATTTACTATTGATCCTTAAATACTCGATAAGATTTTTAAGTAAAAAAAACAAACGCAAAATTCTTATTGATTTACTTAGCTGTTGATTTTAGTTTTAGCGTAAACAAAAATATACAAAATAAGCTAACTTCGTAAGGTACGGAGAATTTTTTTTAATTGCAAATCATGAACATAAAAATTAAAAAAAAGTTAAACTTTAATCTTTAGCTATAAGTTTAATTTTAACATTTTTTCGTCATATTTCATCCCTCCGTAAATCATTACCACTCGTATTACATTTGACTAACGGCAGCGGCTATTCTCTGTAAGATGGTTTCTACAAAAAATAATAATAAATTAAAAATTATGAAATCAGAAAAAAAGGTTCAATTACGAAACAAGATTAAATCTCAAAAGAAGATTCCTATTCATCCAAACGTTGCTAAATAAGGCCGTTGAAAAGCTAGTCTAAAACCAAAACACGTTCCGACAAAAAGTATTATAAAAGCTTACTTTGACCACCGCAGTTGATTTTTATTTGTTCGATCATTCTTTGGCGTTGTTGAACATCACCACTGATACTTTCAATAATGGATATGTATTCGATAATCTCATCAAATCGATTCCATTGTATTGGATTTATTTCTCCAGGATTACAATCAAGAATTGAATAAACAACATCGAGTGCTTTGTTAAGCTGGTCAAGTAAAGTAGTTATCATTTGTGCATAACCATTAAAAGTACTATTTAATTTGCTCATCAAATTAACATCGCAATTAAAGCCTAAACAAATAAAAACTTTATATAAAGAAATACAAATATTGCTATATATATATATATATATATATATATATATATATATATATATATATATATATATATATATTATATATATATATATATATAAATATATATATATAAATATATATATATAAATATATATAAATATATATATATATATATATATATATATATATATATATATATATATATATATATATATATATATATATATATATATATATATATATATATATATATATATATATATATATATATAGCATAGTACTAATTTTAAAAGATAAAAACTAGTCTTGCTTTTACGCTAACAATATTTTTAAATGCATTTATTTAATTGTTGTTGAAGTGTGTTTGAAATTTTTCCGATAGAAAGAAGTTTAAAGTAATGTATATCAGACGGTTTTGAAAATGACATGTATTCTTTAGGAAAGATAAGGTTGTTTAGTAAATGTTTTAAGGTTTTTTCAATTAGGTTCAAAAGGAAAGAATTTTTTTTGAAGAGTTTGCTTAATTTATAAAATATCTAGATGAAAACTTACCTAGTTGCTGTTGATTTTATAGGTCGTGTCAATCAGTTTTAATAAGTCCTAGTTTATAATATATAACACCTGGTAAAATACGTCAGTAAACCTGTGTGATATATATTCATATATATATATATATATATATATATATATATATATATATATATATATATATATATATATATATATATATATATATATATATATATATATATATATATATATATATATATATATATATATATAATATACATATATATGTATATATATATGTACATATATATATATATGTATATAATTATATGTATATATATATATATATATATATATATATATATATATATATATATATATATATATATATATATATATATATATATATATATATATAATATATATATATATATATATATATATATATATATATACACTGTGTGTCATATTTGTGAAGAAGGTCTTTGAGATTAGACAAAAAGAAAAAAAAAAGATTTTACCCTTTGGAGTCTCCATGTTTGGCAAGGACCCCTAAACCAAATTATTGACTGCTATTTTTGCCTTGTTGATACTACTGGTATTGGCAAAAGAAAGATGCAAAAAATAGCTAATCCCAATATTCGTTCTGCTATTAAACAAATTGGACACTCTGACAAGATTTCACAACTAATTTTTTAATGTTTATTTTTGTCAGATGATGAACAAAGCATGTCTGCTGCAGAAACATAAGAATTTTTACAAATTCTTATGTTTCTGCAGCAGAAATAAATAATTCAATAAGTTTTATATTTATTTTTTATATATATATTTCAATGTTAATTCACCTCCCAAGGCCACTTGACCACAGTTATAGAGGCTCTTTTAATTGTGGATACAAACTTCTCCCAACTCTATATCTCCGAAACAACTTGACAAATAAGGCTATTCAATCAATAAAAAGTTGACGACTTTGATATTTATAAAATGTTTATTTTAGCAGTTCGCAATTATTTCAATTTCTTTCTTTTTTTAATTTAAAAAAAAAAAAAAAAAAATTTCTTTTTATTTTTGTTTTAATTGAATACAAATTAAATTTTTGAAAACATATTCTAACATTTCAAAATGAGTTTTAAATATGTCTTTTAGAACTATTTCTAATAATTTGCAAAATGCTGTTGCAACAAACAAAGTTATTATTTGTTTAAGTTTTATTTTTTTTAATTATTTTTATATTTTTTTATTGTTATTTATTATTTTTATTGTTAAGTTGATAATAAATAATTTTATTATCAAAATTATTTGTACTACTTTAAATATATTTATAATGAATTTATTTATAATACATTTTAAATATATTTATAATGACAAATAAATCATTTTAAATATTTATAGTGACACACATCAAATGAATTAAATAGAGATTGACAATGAGTTGTTCATACATTGACTGAGGGTTTAAGTTTGAACAAGCAGTCTATAGTTGCAACCATGATAAGTGCTTGGCAATGTATGGCATGATTTTATATTACAACGAAGAAAAATATAAGAAAATTACGCTTTATAATTTGAAGTAGTTAAGCTGGTATTTTAAACACTTTTGGTTAATAGCTGTTTACTGGTTACTGTTACTAGCCAAACCCAACATGATCTTAAGTACATAGTCCTTGTACTTAAGATCAGGTTCCTTCTTGTGTTGGAAATATGGGCTGAGGAATCTTTTGCTTTTATAAAATAAATTAGGTCTAACGGCCACAGGTTCTTAGACTACAAACAGAACAACTCTCAAGACAGAATTTTCTGGTATTTTGTACATTTAAATTCCTTAAAATTTGCACTTTAATTTTTTAATTTAACTTTATCAAAATTAAAACTACATCTTTAGCCAAAAAAATAAGATTGTCCTAATGTCATTTTATTGTTTTGTTTATGTACAGCTGATGAGCAGCCTGTCCAAAACACATAAAAAGCATCAATTAAATGCCTCACATGGATGAATTGGCTAGTGTGCTATTTGGTCATCTTCTTTTAAAAAAACATAAACAACTATTTATTTTTATTTTCAATTTTACAATTTAAAAAAGTAAACAAACCGTTTAACTGTTTTTGAGTAGAGTCTGCATCAAATTTGTCAAGGAAATCCATAATATATTCCAAGTCGCCAACATTAACATTTAACATCAACAAGCTTGGGACAAAGTTTTGATATTTTTTGTTTATATCAGAACACTTATTGTCTTTCATCACTTGGCAAACTATAACAAAACACAATATACATAATTTGTCAAAAGAAAATAAACTTGAAAAAAAAAAAAAACATTTTCAAAAAATTGAGATTTACAAAACTCACCTAATACTGGACATGGTACATAACTACAATCAAGACGTATGGTTCTATTAGATAGGTCACAAGGTTTAGAAAATACTGAACTATTATAGCAAGTTGTGTAGACAAAGTCTGCCATTCCACCACCACAGGAAAGTGAGCAACTTGAACTTTGCACAGGATCCTTCCATACCCCATCAGCTAAACACAACATTTAATTTCAATGAATTTTTTGTATCAATACAATAACCAAACAAAAAAAAATAGTTATAACTAAAAAAAAATCTTGAAAAAATCACATATAATAAACACAGGCACACATTTTTTTATACTTTTTTTAAATAGATTTTAGGTACATTATTTACCTATAAACGGAGCATTCTAGGACATTAAAAAAACATGTTACACTTGTTTACACTAAATTACACCTATGCTGAAGTTGTGTTTAGTATATTATTTCAAATTAAACTTGCAGTATAATAAAATGCTAAAAATAGTTGGCTAGTTAAAATAAATTACTAAAAAGGACAAACAAGCGAACAAACAAACATTTATTTAGTATATTAGATATAAACCATGAGTATATACAACTGAAGATATGCTAAATTCACAGACCAGGTTTTATGTCAAATCAATACTGGAAAACAAGGTAAATAACATTTAGGATTGAGATTAACATTAGCAGGTAATTACATTTTTAAGACTCAACCTTCAATTCTTTAAGTCTTCTGTCAACCGTTTCCTTGCTCTATAACTTTTCAATTCTTTTTTTTTAGTAACCCTAAACTAAATAGTGGTTGCTTGCAGCCGTTTTGAATGAGTGAATTAGAATCAAAATAAAAAAAAAGCCATTACTCCATTTTGAATAGCGAAATTATGAAATAGTGGGTTATTTGAATATAAATGAGATTCAAATTAAGTGATTGTGAATTGTAATTCTGAACATATTTTTGATCATTAAATTCTCAGTTTATTAAAAAACATTGTTTAAATGAAACAGTCAATCATATTACAAAAATTAATGAAAAATCAAAACAATAGATTTAATACTGCAAAAATAATAATCATCAAAACTTACATATTTTTAATTATTGTTTTTTTTTGTAAATTTGTAAAACCTAAGTTCTTTAAATCTTTTGTAAACTTTGTAAACCTAAGATATGTTTATGATAAAAAAAAAAAAGTCTTTCCAATAGTAACCATTAATTGCTTAATGCTTTTAGCCGACAGTTTTTACTAAGCTTGAAAAAATAAACAATTTTATTGTATATTATATAATTTTATTGTTTTATTATTATATTATATTATTGAATTATTTTATTGTATATTACATAATTTTTTATGTATTTTTTTATTTGTTACTTACTGATTTCAATCTGTCAACTGTAAATCACATAAAAATATGGAAAGAGAAACTTTTGAAAAATTATAACGATAGGGTAGAGCGGGGCATATAAGGACACTTTAGAAACAAATGCTGCAAATAAGCTAATCATAGTTAACACAGTTTTTTATAAATTTCCTTAAAAAATAAAACAAAAATTCAAAAAATAAATTACAACCAAAGTAACAAAACTCTAGATTAGCAAAACATTTACATTTTGCAAGTGGGTGGGACAAAACAGGACATTTAAAAAGCTACCCATAAAAACTACATGCTCTTACACCCATACACCACAAAAAAGAAATAACAACTAAAATTTTTCTTTTTTTCGTTGTATAAAATATCTCTGTTCTACTCTAACCTATATATTATTAAAATGGTAATTACTACTAAATTTGAAATGAAACAAAAAGTTTAATGATTTTATTTTTAGATTAAAAATAAAATCATTAAACTATAAACAGCATCACGAAACAATAGTAATACATTTAATTATTTAAATAACTTGTTGTCTCAATATGCCCCACAAAAGTCGTTTTACTGAAATAATACTATTCAAAAAGTACTATTCCAAATATTTTTTTAAAACCAGATTCTAAAAGAGGATAAACAATACTGTCTGAAAAATATAAACTTTTTATAAATAAAGCAAATTTGCAATAGTGGAAGATTTTTATTTCGCAAACTTACTGCATTTTGGTACTTTTAATGCATTTATAGAATATTCACTCTAGATTTTTCTAGATGCTTTTCTACATCAATTAAAATTTGGGATTTCTTATGTTATTTGAACAAAGAATGAATTATAAAAGTTATAAGTGTTTTATAACACTATAATAGTTTTATTACTTTTATAATGCAGTTAGTAACTAGAGTGTTATTACTTTTCTAGTCATAAGTTTATTGTTTTGTTTTTTATAGCTTTTTGCTAATAAACTTATAATAATTTGCTCCTTGAAATTTGCATAAACTAAAATTTTTAAAAAATCATTAGCTTCATCTGAGAAAAAATACAAAAAAAACAAACTTTTACACCAGACTACTGATTATCATGGCGGACAACTCAAATAGGAAATAAAAACCAGACGGTACACCACTGACAGCATATGGCAGCAAAAAACTCTAAATTTAATAGTATTTTTTGGACAAAAAGTAAACACTTGCCAGGTATGTGCCAGGAAATAGTTCTTAGTAAGCCAGTTTGAATCAGTGTCAAACAAACCCATAAGAGATCTTTGAACTTTTATTTACTAATGAACTTGTGATGAGATGTTATAGTAAAAATAACAAACAAATATGGACATAGTAAATTCCAAGACATTTATCTTGAAAGCTCATTTCAAAATGGAAAAACACAACATCTATTAACATTTATTAAAATGTACTGCATTTATTGAACCAACCTCTACTAAAATACCTTATATACTGTAGCTTCTTAAACAAACAAGAAACCTATTTCAAGAAATGTAATATATATTTGTTTAAAATTTTCTAATCACAACACTTGGATTTGGATGTCATGCCACAATGTCACAAAAAAGAGAAAGAGCAGTATTTTAAGAGTACATTAAGAGTAGTAGAGTATTAACACACATAAGTAATAGTAGAGTATGAACACACATAAAGAATTTTTCTTTAATTGAAAAGACAAAAAAAATGAGTGATGAGCACCAGACACTGAGAAAAGTTAGATGTGGCATTCTAGCAAAAATATTAATGGTTATACATGAGTACAACCAACTCATGGGCAGTGTAGATTTTTTTGATTAAATGATGACGTTGTGACCAAAAGTGAAAGATCACAGATCAAAATGGTATAAGACTATTAGCCAATTAGTAAACATAACTTGTTTTAATGCACATCATTTACAACAAAAAGATGATCTTGATACTCTTTATTTTTTACTGGGGTGATAAAGCAAATTACTTTTAAAACACAGGATGGTAGTGGAGTCTTTGAAGTGGACACCCAACACTTAAAGGATCCCTTTTCTGACTTTTTGAGCCTAAAAATTAGTTAAGATACCAGCTTCTGCACACAAAGATAATGCTACAAGAAAATGTGTAGTGTATTATATAAAACTTTTATGCCTTATATGATTTTAGATAATGTGTTGTGCCTTGATTATACTATTCCATGTCAGCAACTTGATAAGAAAAACTTGTCATGTATCTAAGCAACAAATTTGTTTGCATATGATAAACCATTCAACATTATATAAATTAAAGACAATTAAACAGGTTGTTATGGGTTTAACTTTCTGGTTTTGTACTTGGTTCACAATTATTGAGATATAAATAGTTACCATAATTTTGCTAATATTGTTTTTTTTATAACAATGTATGGTTTTGTTTATGGTAAATATGGTTTTGGAGATATAAATAGTTACCATAATTTTGCTAATATTGTTTTTTTTATAACAATGTATGGTTTTGTTTATGGTAAAAATTGTTCTAAATTAATTGAGGCTTTTGATATCATATCAAGAGCAAGCTGGTAATAGTATTAAATAATATTTTTGGATATTGTTTTATAATTATAATTTCCATTGTTTACACTCTTTTATTCTACAATGATAAGTAGTCAAGGATTTTTTAAATTCAATTTTTCTTAACCCTTTACCTTCAGAAAACTTGAATAAAAAAAGGAGTTGCCCATAGAAACCAGTTGCCAAGAGAAAATTTTGTTATAGTTTGTTAACACATTGATTGACTTAAATACGTAGAACATGCAGAACATGTACATACATCGACTGAGATTTTTGGGCAAGCAATCTATTCATTTAAAGAAACAATTGAATTAACTTATTAAATTGATTAAATTTGAATATCATTTAGTTAATTTACTGACTATTTATTGATAACTAAGCAACCTTAATTTACTGATCTTTTAACCAAATGGTAATCAATATATAAATAAATATATATATATATATATATATATATATATATATATATATATAAATATATTGCGTAATAAGGTAAGCAATCTGACGTCATACTGAAATAAGCTGCTGCTGGGGGCTTCAGTACATACATCGACTGACAAATAGCCTGACTCCCAGTGGAGTGCTGCTACATCGACTGAGGTTTTGGGATGGGGCAGAAATCCTTTGATTCATCATTCTTTGTTTTTTTTTCTTCTTTTTCTGTAAAAGCCGTATGGATTAAGGTAAGCAAAAAAAGTGAGCAAATGCTTAAAATACGCATAAAAATAAGCTTTAGTAAGTGTATATATATATATATATATGTATATATATATATATATATATATATATATATATATATATATATATATATATATATATAAACACACATTAGTAAAACAAGCAAAGTATATGTATTTACATTGAAATTTAATTACATAACATTTTGCTTTAAAATAAATACATAAAATTTAACTCACGAACACATATCCAAGTTTGATTTAAAGTGAAATATGCTGAACTTCCTGGCACACAGGGGGGTGGTGTTGTTGGTTGAGGCATTGTTGTTTTAGTTGTTGTTGAAGTTGAAGTAGTTGCTGGGGGTGTAGTAGTAGCTGCTGGAGTTGTAGTACCTGATGTTGTGGTTTTTGTAGTTGTTGTTGTTGTTGGGGATGCTGTAGTTGATGTTGAAGGTGCAGAAGTTGTAGTAGCTAATAAAACAAGATGATATTAAAATGAATACAAACAAAAAAACTAAAATAAGAACTGAAAAAGAGCTTTTATTTATTTTTAAGTCCATATTTATATACTACCATTAATAAAATAAAGAATTGAGTTATTTTTGCACTTATTGGCATTACATTCCCATAGACACATACACAATAATTCTGTTCTTTGTTTTCTAGTAACTGCTGATGTAATAGCAATTTTTTGCAGCCTTGTAAGAGAATTAGTATTTTAAAAAATTACACTTAACAAGTGCTGTTTTTTATAAATAAGTGTTATTTTTCATGGCAAAACAATTTCTTTGGAACTAGTAATCAATTGACAAAATTGATGAAAGCATGTTCAAATGTTCCTTCAACAGTGTACATACCTACATAGTTTTCCAGAACAAATAACTTTTGCAGTTTTTTAAAGTTACTACACTAAAACATTGTGCAAATCAGTTACAAAAATAGTAAGCAAAAAAAACTTTATTTAAATACTATGAAGTTTTTAATAAAAGCTGATTCAAATACAGGGTTTCTTACTTCTTTTGTTCTTAGATTTTTTAATTTTTATTAAACTTTATAATTCAAACAGAGTTTTCTTCTTTAATTTAGATCTATTATTATTATTATTTTTTTTTTAATAAATGTGGATGTCACATTTTTGAAATTTGTAGTTGTAATAAAAACAGTTAAAAACACAAAGAAAGTTTATTATTGTGACACACTAAATTAATTAAACTAAATTTAAAATACCTGGTGGGTTAAGCGCGAATATAAGATTATCAATTGCTGGTGTGTTGAATAGAAACCATGAACCACTAGGGTTGTCAAGTGAATTATACAATTCGACATATCGAGGAAGAGATATATTGCACTACAAATTAAAAAAAAGAACAAATTAGGCAATAAAACAAACAACAAACAAAGTTAGAATTAACTTGAATTAAATGAGCAGCCATTATGGTTTCAGATAAATTATAAAATAAAATTAATACAAATTCATAATCCATTTAGTTGTTTAGCAGCCTAACTTACTGCACAATTTTTATTTTCATAGAAGTAGCATATCTCTTATAACTGTTCTTTAGCAAGCATGAAATATGAACTAGCATATTAGGTTTTTAAATTCTTTTTTCACTTGTAAATAAAAATTAGTTAAAAAATTTTATTTAACATGTTATTTAAATGACAAATCAAAAAACATTAGATAACAAAAGAAGATAAGAAAGAAGATTTATAATTAGAGTAGTACTTACGACTAATTAAGAACATTTAAAGAGGATACAATTTTTCTTATAAGTATATAGTTATACTTGTTAACTTAAAAAAACTTAACTGTCTCAGGTAGGTTGAGTACTGTCTTTAATTTAAAGACAGTACTCAACCTTTTTTACTGACTTGTCTGCCTTGAGTCAGTAAAAGAATTTTTTTTTTAATTTACTATAATTTATTTATCAAATTATGATATGCTAAATATAATATTATAATTTGATTATATTTATAATAATATAGTGGAACTAAAGTCAGAATAAATTTATTCATTTTTGTTTAGTAAAGTTTTTTTTTTTAAATAACCAAATATCAAAGTTAATAAATAAATTAATATATTTCGATAGATATATAACAAAATTAGGTACATTTAATAACTTGTAAGTTTTTGCAAAACTTTTACAGTATTTTATTTATTTATAAGTCAAAACAAATTCAGTTAAAATAATATTTTAACTGAATAATATTTTATTGATTTATCAAGTTATATATGATATATTACATTGTTACTATATACTTGATACATCATTAAAAATATACTATAAAAAATATATAGATATAATTAATATTTTAAATTAATCTATAAATATTTTTTCTTCAAAAATGTTTTAAAAATGAATTTGAATCAAAATCAGAATTGCCATATGGTTGTACTGCAAAATTTGCAAATAACTAATTGCTAGTTATAGACAATAAAAAACTGCTTAAATGAAACGCATCAGATGTTACATTATACAACTTAAAAGTTATTAGGCTTGACATAAACATGACATAACTTTAAACTCAATAGAAATTTTTTTAAAATTGTTTTTGAAATTAAAAAATTCTAGAAAAAAATGAATTGAAATGTCAATTCATGGAATCAATTGCTTTAACAATTTTAAGTATTTTGTTATATTTGTTTTGATTATTTACTTTTGATAGTCCATGTTTGTTAACAACATTATTTTTTAATGTTACATTTTTCAGTGGTTATAAGCTATTAGTAAAAAAACGTATTTATTGTCTCATCTCTTTATATTCTCATTATTCTCTGCCTACTAATTTAATATTTTTATATTTTTTTATCTTTGGCTAATGATTGTTTAATTATTCTGAGTCTGTTTTGTGTGATAGCTATTGTCTCTACATGCAGGCATATGTGCATATGTACAAGTTTGTCTCTTCTTAAGTAAGTGTACATTATATTTATATATGTTTACATATAATATTGCCATTTTTAAAATACAACACAATTTAAACTCAGAATGGGAAACAATCTTTACAACAAAATATAAACAAGGTCAAGTGATAAGTAAACACATTATAAATATAAATATTTTATAAATATGAGAATATGTTAACATTAAATGGAAATATATTATGGGATTTCAATAGCTACTGCAATATTTTGTTTTATATTGATCGAAACTAATGAGATTTCAATGATATAAAAAAAAAAATTAAAGGCAAAAAAAAGTATAGGAGAGGGGTAGCTTGGTAAGAGTAAAATTTCTTTAAAAAAAATTTCTACAGCACGTTTGTAAATAATAAACAATATTTTAAAAATGGTTTTTATTAAAACATACCCCAAACTGTGCCACACTCCCAGATAATGATACACTAAAGTTTTGCCAAAACTTTTTATTGTATGTACTTGTATCGGTAACATTGTATATAACTCTGTTTGGTCCACAACTTAACTCTAAAAGTACAAAGCAAGCACACAGTTTAAATAAGTAAAAATAAATAGAAATTTTAATAAATTACAAATAAAATGTTATTTTTTTTGCATTAAACTTTTTTTTGCAATCATTTTGTAGAAAGTACAGATCATTTGTAATTGTGACATTAGCGACCAATTTGTACAATGTACAGATCATTTGTAATTGTAAGGTTAATTTATTAAATTGTTGTTAACTTAAAATTATTCATTTGTATCTGTACAATAAAATTAAATTTTTTAGGAATTTTTAATGCAATTTCATTAGCTTTTAACAATGCCAACAAACACAGACTATGTCATTAACCATGAAACTACAATGAATGAACATCACTAACATTGATACATTTATATATTCAACAGATAAAATAACAAAAATTATCTGTGTATCTTATCACTTATTTTGATTATATTATTACTTTTGAATAAACTCCAATAGAAATGTAAATGTCTTTACATCACATAATAATCAGAAGAGGCTAGAAATAAACACAACAACCTGTTGAAAAATTTAAAAGGACACGAATGACACTTTCTTAAACAAACTGTAAATTATTTAGATAGAAGTAATTACTTAGATACAGGTACTAATATCCATTACTAAGATCCAGGGAATTAGTTATAAGCAAAATGAGGCATCACAATTTTGAACTTAAAATTATAAAGAATTCTGAGTTGTTACATTTATTAAAAAGTGAGTTTTAGATGTAAGTTGTGTATAATCTTACCTTGATTTTCTTCGTAATGGCCCTAAGGTAAAATTGTTTTGTCTTCCTGTTGACAAATGTGCTTCTTATGTAAATTCTTGGATTCAGGCTAGAATGGAATCTTATTCCCTCTCAACAATTATAAGGCAAGCCTCATTCTTCTCCATGGTTTTCCTCTCATTGCACTGCTGCAATTTTCAATCGTAACCACTACCTACATATTTATCAACAAAAAATTTCTCCAGAAAACAGATGTCTGTTTACTATTGCTAGAAACCATTGTAAAAAAGTTTTGTTTAACTCTAAAGCCTGCACTTTAAGGTAACGAAACTTTTATCTTATATCTTATCTAACGAAAATCTTATATCTCAAATCTAATAACTTACTTTTTATTCATCAATATGGTTTTAATCTTCTCATTTTACTGCTGATTTGTTAATGGTAAAAACCAAAAGGTTTTATTGTGCATTAGATGTGGAGAGATTATTTCTCAACATTTTTAAAGTCTTTGACAAAGTTTGACATGGTGTTCTTCTTCATAAGCTCTCTCATTATTATGTATCACGCCTTTAGACCTTTAACAACTATGGGACACTGGTGTCCCACAGTTTCAATATGGTGTTATTACTAAGCTACAGTTAAATTTCTGTAATAGATTACACCTATAGTATACCTTAGACACTAATAATTACTATTCTGGTAGAAAAATTTCAAAGTTTACATCACATGAGATAGGTATCTTTCTTAAAATTTGCAAATAAAAGTAATTTAATTTTCGACACATAAAAATAACTTAAATGTAAGCCACATACAAAAAAACTGATTAGATTGTAATAACCTATACAGGGTTGCCACTGTTATTTAGGAACAAAATTCCCTAATTTTCCCTGATTATTTTTTTACTTTAATACTTTTTTCTTTTCTTCCCAATATTCCCTGATCTAAAAGCATTATCACACTATTTTCTTTTGCTTGGAGTATTTTATTTTCCTCCAAATAGTTTTTTTATTGTAATGAGGCACTACAAACACCATTTATCATTTCATTGTTTATTTCTATTTTGTGAGCCTTTAATTTGTTTGACACCATAAAATCCTTGATAGTGCGACAAGATATAAATGACAGTCTTTTCATTTTTTCACTGAGTATATTACTGGTAATACTGAAACCTCTCTCAATTGATGCTTGCCTATGACATAAAAATAAATATCAAAACTTTTGACAAAACCTTATAATCTACACCAACTTTATTCGTTTCAAAATAAAAGTAGATGAACTTTTCTCTAACAACTTTAAAAATTGTATGAAAGCTTGATCACATTCATTTGAAATAATATGTGAGCAAGAAAGAACTAGATGTAGTACAGATTTCATCTGATGAAGAAGATCAGCTTTTTGTTTAGAAAGATTTGACACTGGATTGATGCAAGCAGTTGCTTCCAGAAAAGAAAATTGATTCAAACTTCTTTCTATTATTTTTTCCAGAATTCCAAATATAATGAGACAGCAATCTTTTATGAATCTATGATGACATCCTGAGATAATGCATCCTTTTTCCTCAATTCGATAATGTCATGTTCTGCAGCAAATCCTATTATCATTAATTTTAATAGCAGAAAGTTTTCCTTTTTTGTAAAATCATATTATTGAAGTTTCCTGCCATTAACGATGAAAGAAAGGGAATCATTTGGGCATTGGTTTGATATCTCAGTAAGATTTTCTGAAAAAAACTTGCAATGTAACCAAAAAACTACAATTTAGTCAGAATTAACTTATCTTTTGTTCCATCAAACCAGAGTTGTTAGTCCTTGACCTGAAAATTTTGGTCTTGGCATTGATTGTTTTGGCCTTAACCATAAACTCTTGGCCTTGCCCTTGTAACTTTTAGCCTTGATCTTCGCCTTGGACTTATGAGCGGCCTTGGCCTTGGTCTTGGTCTTGATAATTTTAGCCTTGTTAACAACTCTGCCCCAAACACTTGTCATAGCTCTTTCATTTTGGTTACTTACTTTTAGAAAGAGTCTCCTAATACTTGGTTATTTTTTTTAACATTCTCCCAAAATAAACATTCTATCTTTCTATAGAAAGTCTATCTACAACTTTTTGGTCTACAACTCAGCGTGTAGAGCAAAATGCACAAGGAAAACTCTCACATTTAGTAACAGTTACATAATCAGATCTTCTAGCTGAAGAATCATAAAAAAGGTTGTATGATGCTTTCATTAACTTCTTTATATTCCATTCAGCAGATTGAAAACTCGATTTGAAACCATGTATTAGATTAAGGTTACAGCTTCCAACGTTAAGATGTTTAGGTAGCTCTTGTTGATCACGCTGTATTTCAAGAAGATTAAGATGGGAACAGTTCACATTTGTACCTTCCATACTTAGTTGAGTCATACTTTTAAGTAAATTCTTTTCTGTGGGGTAACCTAAAAATTTAGAGTCAAAGTATCTGGATTCAACACAATTTAAATTGCTGCTCTAAAACTGAATATTTAGATCCAATTGGACATTTTTGCCTATTATCAGCCATTTTTCAAACAAAGGATCAATTAACCATTTTTCCTTGAATTATGTTGCAAACATTAAATTAATGTAAACCCAATATGATTAATTTTCTTTAAAAATGTTAAACATTAACCCTGGTACCCTTAAAAAGGAAGATTTTTATTAGAAAAAATTTAAAAACATTACAGAAAAATTAAAAAGTTCCCTGATTTTCCCTGATTTTTTCCTAAATCAATCATTTCCCCCTGATTTTCCCTGATTGTATCTAAATTTTCCTGAATTCCCTGATTTCCCTGATTTGGTGGCAACCCTGCTATACTTATATTATGTATTGATCAGATCATTTAATGCCAATTGTGTTGACATAAATTGATAAAACAACACAGTCTTTCACAGAAAGACATGTGATCGCACACTATTATATGACCAAGCAAACTACATTTTTCTTAGACAAATGGAATGTGGCTATTTCAAAAAACATTTTAAAAATGCGCTGAATAAAAAATATTCTGAATTATACCTTAGGTGAAACAATATTATTTTTTATATTATTTTACCTAAGAATATATTATTTTTTCACATAACTATATATTATTTTTTCCTTTAATTAAGTATTTTTTTTTTATTTTCTCTTACCATTAGATTTTTTTTCTTATATTTATACATATTATATATATAACCCAACTAAAACTAAACTCAAAAAATTAAAATGCTTAGTTTATTCAAATCATATTTTTAATTACATTAAAAATTTTTATTTTTTATTTTTATTAATGTTTAGAACATTAATAAACAAAGAAAAATTTACATTTAATGATTGTTAAAAATATACTCACACTTGATTTAAACTAATATTTTTTTTACTAATTTTTCTTTTTAAAAGTTTTTTTTTAGATAAGCTTAGGTAGATTTTTGTAGCTCATTTTTAAATTTTGAAAACATGCCAAAAGCTGTGGTCAAATTGTCAAAATAAAGTATCTTTTGTGTGGCCATATAATCACACATCTTTGAAACCAACCATTGTTTATTTTTACAAAAAAAAAAGAACCATGAACATGTATATATGTATATATATAATTATATATATATATATATATATATATATATTTTAGGGTAGTTCTAAAAACAACTTTTATTGAAAATGACTGCTGGCACCCTACAATATATTGCACATAATAAAAAAATGCTTGATTCAAAATTTTTTTGAATAAAAAATATTTAAGGGATTGCTAGCGACCCTTGAACATTAAATAGGTGCCTAATATTAAAAAAATGTTTTTCAAAAGTATGTCATGTTGGGTCTCAAACGAAGCAAAATTATATAAAAATATTATTCATTTTATAAATAAATTTTTATTTTAGATTTTAGTGAACAGAAAATTACATTTTTTAACTAAAAGGGACTGTCTATAATTGATGTCAGTGAATTTTCTCAATTTTTTGACTCTTCCCTCTTTGTCAAACTCTGTCAATTTTTTAACAATCCCCCCTCCCCTCCCTTCCTTATATATGATATCAGTTTTTAAACCTTCTCCCTAAAGTAACATATGCATAATTGATTTTGTTTTGGTTAAAATATACACTTGTATAGTAGTAAATATCAGCAAGTTATAGCAATATTAGCATTATTATAGAACAGTTGACATCTCATCAAGTAACAAAGGAACTAATCAAAATTTTATTCTATATCTATAATATAAAATCTTCCTATGGGTTGTTGAAGTGATCTTTGATAGTAATGACAATTGTATTTAAAATAATGAC